AGGACCTGTCTTCAGTGGTCTCAAGTCCAGTGGACCTGGAGGACCTGTCTTCAGTGGTCTCAAGTCCAGTGGTCTTGGAGGACCTGTCTTCAGTGGTCTCAAGTCCAGTGGTCCTGGAGGACCTGTCTTCAGTGGTCTCAAGTCCAGTGGTCCTGGAGGACCTGTCTTCAGTGGACTCAAGTCCAGTGGTCCCTGCTCATCCAGCTGTACCAAAGCCGCCTGCTCTCCCAGTCACGGCCAAGGGGTCCATCCTTTCCATCCTGCCCTATACCTACTACATCGGCCCTGCCACCCTTGGGGCAGTCATCTTTGTGGGATTACACTTCCTGTGAGGTTGTCTGCCCTGGGATAACTGTCTCTCCTCTGCACTTTTGTCTGTCTTGTCTTCTGTATTTGTGTGAGCACTAGGGCTGTCAAAATTGCTCAAAAATGACGTTCGAATATTCCCTCTAAAAAAAAACACATAAATTCGAACTATTCGAATATCTGGTTGCGCATTTTGTCAATGACGCGCATTACGTCAATAACAGGACAAATTAATACAAAGAGACACAACTACTTGTATAGGTAGTTTATTTAAGTTTAAACATATTTGACAACGTATTAACTTACACAAAACCAAGTAAATCAACTAATGGCCAAGACCGCAGACCTTACTCTCACTCGCAGGCACTCTCTCTCTCTCTCTCTCTCTCTCGCCCCTCACCTCACGCTCTCTGCGCATAAATGAACAACAATAAACAAATGTTGAGTGCTGATCAAGAGTTTTGTGCAAGCAATTTAAGGTCGCGACTCTTGTCCTAAATATAGCACGCTTCATTCGGTGATTGAAACAAATATTATTAACATTAATTTAAGTTTTACAGTATATAGAACCGACATTGAACACTCCGAGCGAGCTGTGCTGTGGTAAACTGCTGCTAGCTACTATGGCTATTTCGAGGGGCGTCTGGCCACGCCCCCTTGGCGGGCTCTGACGTGTCTGATGTAATGCTAGCTCATTGGCGCACACGTTGGAGGCGCCCGTGCCATTGGATGTGCAGTTGCCGCAGCACAGCCAATGAGTGAGCCAGACACTCACTGTGCTAGCTGTGCAGCTGGAAAATGCGTTTTACATTTTAAGCTTCAGAATTTTGCCACTCGCAAAGTAGACAGCCGCGCCTCTGCTACCGCGGGCGTGTTTTTCCACATGATTCGAATATTAATTTTCACCTTCGAATTTCTGTTTTTTAAAACTATTCGAATATATATTCGAATTTAGAATATTCGTTGACAGCCCTAGTGAGCACATGGCTTCTGTCATGTTTCTTTGCTATGTGCCTTTTACACATGGACTTTTGTTTGTTTCTGTGTGCCATGTGTCCTTCTCATGTCTCTCATCTGGGCCCTGCCCCCTTGTTACCTTTTTATTAGTTAATTTGCCTCACCTGCTCTCTTTCGTTACCTTTCTCATTTCCTTCCCTATTTAATATTTCTGTGTTCTCTGTCCTGTGTCCTGTGCCAGTTCATTATGGTTGTTTCCCATTGTGGATGTTTTTTTTTTTGGGACCCCCTCGAAAACGAGATGATACATCTCAAGGGGTTTATCCAAATAATAAACAAATTTGAACACATGTTCCCACGGGGTAGTTTTGGTTTTTCTTTTTGTTTGTTTTTGGCACCTAAATAAAGCCCATTATCATTTACCCTGCGCCCGAGTCCTCGCCTCTTCCCTTCACACAAACCTGACAAGTTTGCCTGTTTTTTGCCAGGGTTTTTGCCAACCCTTTTGTCAGAGAATTACCTTAACCAAGTTCAGTTTAAAAAATCTATATTACTTTCCTCATATTTTGATGGTTTAATCAAACTTGTAGGGTCATAAAAAGTTTTTTTTTAGGACTACTACTACTACTGTTTTATGCTTTGATAGAATTCTTGGTACTGAATATTAAATCTGGTCCAGTGTTGTCTGAATCATGGCTTTGTTTTAGAGAAGGAAGGATACAGAGGCTGCTTTCACTGTGGATAATCTTGCCTGTATCACTGTGGACCTGTTGAAGGCTGGGACACAGACCATGAGTGACACCCTACGACAGGCTTTACTTCTTATGATCAAGTACCCCAAAGTCCAAGGTAAGTGAACTTGAAAACATCTATTTTGTGATATCTCTATGGAAATTTATATTAATAGACTTACTTAATATATTTCATGATGTGAATTAATCACAGTATATTGTCTGTGGTTGTTGAAATAGCCACTGTATGCAGCTGTATGATTGTTGTAATTCTTCTTAGAGAAAGTTCAAGATGAGATCGACTGCGTAATTGGGAAGTCTCGGCAGCCATGTTTGGTAGACCGAGCCAGTATGCCTTACACAAACGCAGTTATTCATGAAACTCAGAGAGTGAGCAACATTTTACCTCTGATTGCTCCCCGTCTGACAAGTCGAGACTCTGTGCTGGCTGGATACTTCATTCCTAAAGTACTTCTGCTCTAGTTTTGTACTATTGTTGTAATGAAATTTGGTATGGTTACACTTCTTGGATAGTTTTTTCCTTTGGATTAATTGCTTTTGCTTATATTTTTTGCTTTGGGTAATTTGTAAATTGCATTGGGAACATACTGCATATTTGAACAAGGTTTGTAAGGAAAAGTGTTCAAATGTTCTTAAAGAGCCTGATTAAATTAAATCTGTAGTTTGAAAACCCCTGATATAGGTTAATGCTCTTTGTAAAAAAGAAGGGTAACACTTTATTTTAAGGTGACATAGTTTCACGTTACTACATGTACTTACTATAGTAATAACAGTAAATGATGCATAATTACAAGTAACTAACTCTATTCAAAACCCTAACCCTAACTGTAACTCTATAGTAAGTATATGTAGTTAATTAAGTACAATGTAACTACGTCACCTTAAAATAAAGTGTAACCAAATGAAGTTTGCTTAATTGTATTGAATGTTTGTAGTGTTTTTCAAATCTTATAAGTACATGACTGTTCCTCAAAACACTTAAGTACACTTTTAAAAAAGTCTACATTTACATTTTACACTTTCTAAATCATGTTTTAGTAATCTTTTGTCATGTTTTAAAGAAGTACACTTGTGTGACCAACATACTTAAGTAAATGTAAAGTACAAATTATTTAAATACATACAATTTTCAATAGAAATGACTTTAAAGTATATTTTAGTTTACCATAATTTCTGGTCAGTACATTTGTCAGTACATTGACTTTAACCATTTCAAAGAAAATAGAAATAATTATGAAATTACATATAAAAATGTACTTAAGTAAGCCAAAAAAGCACTCTAAAGTTCAGTTACTACATTTATTATGAATTTAAATTATAATACATTTTTATTTAATTGCAAATAACATGCAGTTAAGTGTCCGAAATTAATTTAGCACTTAAGTATATTCATTTAAAGCATGTTATTTCCGTAATAAATACTTTTTAAATGTACGCTTAAGTTGACTTTTTTCCACAATGGACTGTATTTACAGATATGAAAGTTTTGCTGTTATTAATTGTAATTATATGAGTATGTTTCTCTGTTTCCTTTCACTCAAGGGCACAATGGTGATTTGTAATCTCTGCTCTGTGCTGAAGGATTCATCACAATGGAAAAAAACAGATCAGTTTTATCCTGAGCACTTCCTAGATGACCAAAGGAATTTCAGGAAACGGGAAGTATTTTATCCATTTTCTGCAGGTAGTGTTTTATTGTATTTTCGCTCACACTTACAAGATAATGTTTAATGTAAGACGATTTGTGCATACGTGTATCCTGGCTTTGCATTTCTCCAGGGAAAAGGTCATGTCTTGGTGAGCAGCTGGCACGGAATACACTGTTCCTGTTCTTCACTTCACTCCTCCAAAGGTTCTCATTCTCAGCTCCCGAAGGACCAGAACCTTTCATCGAATCCCAGGAAAGGGTCAAGACGCCCCCTAAACCCTTCCAGATCTGTGTGTCATTACGTTGATAGGAACAATAGGAATTACAACTGGACCTGTACTAACTGAGTTCTATTAATAGATTTTATGCTAATTCATGCAGTAAAATGCAGTCAACATGCAGTAGCCACAGTGTCAGGTAATCTATCTATGCATTAGAATTAATTTGATTCTGTTCATAGATTTTTTTGGTCCCACTTTATATTAAGTGGTTTTAACTACTATGTACTAACATTGAAATTAATAATTTGATACAATGGACTTATTGTGTAAATACATGGTTCTACATTGTACTTATATTTGAAAAATACCTGCATGTAATTACAGCTGTAATTAATTTAATTACATTTCTAATTACACTGTTGACCCTTCCTTTTGATGGAAATAGTGATGAAGGCTTGTACATTTCTGTATTAAATATCTATGCATAAGGACTTATTCATGCCGTCAATATTGTGATCTTTTTTATTTTATTTCATGCTTAGAATGCTAAATGCTAATTACAGTGCAAATGTAAATATGATGTTGTTCCAATTGATGTAAGAACCTAGCCTGGATGCCAGCCCGAACCCACAACATTTTTTGGTCGGGAAGACTAGACCTGACTAGAATATGAGTATGACGAAGTCAGGCTATCCAGTTTATTCCCCGGAAATTAAAATGTGAAGTAAAAAAAAAAAAAAAAAAAAAACGATTGTGATCAAGCGTCTCATCTTCACGTGTGTGTGTGTGTGTTTGTGTGTTTATAGATTAATTCATTTTCTTCCTGGTAATGGTTGACAAGAATATAGTCGAGTTTAGCACTATAAACAGTTAACAGTTAAGGTACATTATCACCACCAGACGGCAGTAGAGAAACTCTTTAAAAAAAACACAAACTCTTATATCTTTTTCTGTTTAGCGACATCAATAAGGTAAGTTTCTTCAAATAATGTGGACTCGTTGAGTTCAGGAAAGGTCAGTGTCATTGCAGACAGTCGCGCGTTAAAATACAGTTTACAGTAGCGTTTACTGAAGCAAGAAGAGTTCTGCACAAAATGCTTGCTCTGTGGGATAAAATGGACACAAGAATGTTGTGCCGTGAAAGTTGGCAGAAGCTTGAAGATATCCGCGTTTGTGCTGGAGAATTAAGTGATATTTCTGAATGTAGGCTATACTGAAGATCATATATCATCTCGCTGGCTGAACTTTGACAGGACCCTATAGTTTCCCTTACGCTTTTCACGCGCATATAGAACACAAATTTCACCTGGGATTAATGTACATGGTGAAAGTGTTCTTCTTTTCTATTATTCATTATTGATATATTGTAGCCTACAGGTAAATGTGCCATGCCGTTTGAGGAGTTCATCGCGGGATGGATTTCAGGTAAGTTAGGCTATTACTTAACTTTGGCTTTGGAACAAAACTTACCAACTGTCTGGTTACAATAACGTGAAAAATATATATTTTATTTGCTTTGACTTTGAATCTGCTCGGTTTATAAGCGAAAAAAGAAAAGACAAAAAAGTTAAAAAAAAAAAAAAAAAAAAGCCTGTTAGTATCATATTCTTAACATCTTTTCTTACTCCATACCTATAACATATACCATGGTATCATTAAGTAGCCTACTGTATCAGAAAGAATACCATAGTATATCTAATACTATCTCTTTACTGTGATACTGCCACAGTATTTTTTTTGCATGGTAAAAATAAATATATGAATTGCCCCATACTATTATATATGATTCACAGTTCCAGATTGCAAACGTGTAAATGATTCACAAAGGGTTAATCATATGTGGTGTTAGGTGCTGTTGGTTTAGTTGTCGGACACCCTTTGGACACAGTAAAGGTGAGTTTCCTTGACAGTAAAACAACAACAAAAAAGGATGATGATTTGGTGATTTTCAATAACTGACATTACTGAGATTATTAGTTTATTCCTTTGTTTTGGTCATAGGTGCGCTTGCAGACCCAGTCTGTGTATAAAGGGATATTTGATTGTGTGGTCAAAACTTACACACATGAAGGAGTAAGTCTTCACTACATTGTGCAATAAGAAGGAAAATTCATATACATATAGTATATAGTGTGTGTGTGTGTTTCAAAGTCTTGTTTGTAATGCCGAATTCTGTGACCCACTGAAATCTGTGACAGTAGGGTTAGGATTAGTATTGGGATTAAGAGTAGTCGGATTAGTTATTGTTATTACTCAGCATTTATGTAAATTCGTAACACAAATTTGAATACTTCTTTATGCTACATAGAGATAAACTCTCAGGCTTATATATTGTAGCAAGAATTTGTCAGTTAATTTATCATAATATATTTACATATTTACCACAAGACAAAATATCAAGTTACCCCATTAAAAGTTTACATCCCTTTGGTTATAAATATTGCGTGTCACAGGACTCAGAGGCAGACAGAAGATGAACTCAACTTATTGATGATGGATAAAACATTTATAAAGACGGTCCTTAGTTGGCAGGGGAGACGAGTATATGAGGAAACCAGATGGAGGATGCAAACACAGTCGAGCAGACTATGGAGAACGGATGATGAAGGTTGATGACAGTCCCAAAGTCAGTGAGGAGGGATTTGGGGAGGCTCGTTGGGTCCAATGTGGCTTCAGCATAATATCATACAGTAGTACAGTATAAATTAAGGTTTATACATAGTTTCCATGACAGAGCTATGAATCTTTTCATCTTTGTACAGGAGCTGCCAGTTTGCCAGTCAAATGATTATTAAACAGCAAGCACAAACAATGCAAAAGCGGCAGCCCTTCCGGTGCTCTCAGTGTCCGAATTCACTCGTTTTCATTCACTTCTTTAAGTCAACTATATTATTTGAGTGATGTAAGGAAGAGTGAATAAGGGTTTGGGGGCCGATTTCGGACACAGCAAATGTTTAGATGTGTATGAATACCTCAGTTATCTTCATTGTGAAAACATGGATTTCAACAGCATTTGGGAAAAGCTCAAATGGTCAGAAGATGCTGGAAAACCAAATAATGTACAGGGCCTGGAGATGTTTCTGAAGAACACTACAAACAAGGAACTCATGAATAACTATCACAAACCATGCAAACATTAATATAGGAAGCAACGCACCATAGTAAAACCCAAGGGAATGTAAATTTGTGAACGCAATATTTTGTGTACTTTCATTTATTATTTTATCCTGTGGCATATATGTAAATATCTGTTATGTGAAACCAGGGCAGTACTAAATAACAACAAAATGCAATTTTTGTGATCCTTATGATCGTGTAATTTAAAAAAAATTATAAACATTGTGCAGATTCTGCAAACTTCTGCTCTCACCTGTATTGCATTAGTTTGCATGTTTCACATTATGTTAAATAAGTACAAGAACAGCAACATTAACTCAAAATTATGTTCATTGTTATTACTTAGCAGCACTATAATAATTCTGTACATGAACATTAAGTGTGAAGTTTGACACACATTTTAATGTTTCTTAATGCTACATACACTGTTGTTCAAAAGTTTGGTTAGTAATATTTTGCGTTTTGTTGTTGAAATGATTTAATACTTTTATCCAAGGAAGCATTACATTGATCAAAAGTGACAGTAAAGGCATTTATAATGTTATAAGTAATAAGATTAGATATAATGTAATACGATTTCTAGGTAACACTACAATAAGGTTTGTTAACATTAGTTAAATTATTAACTAACATGAACTAGGAAAATTAAATTGAATGTGGAGGATAGGGTTAACTATGACAAGATGGTCCACTCCAGTGTCGGCTCCAGCTCCTGAGTCCACTCCAGTGTCGGCTCCAGTCCCTGAATCCACTCAAGTGTCGGCTCCAGCCTCTGAGTCCGCTCCAGTGTCGGCTCCAGCTCCTGAGTCCGCTCCAGTGTCGGCTCCAGTCCCTGAGTCAGCTCCAGTGTCGGCTCCAGCCCCTGAGTCAGCTCCAGTGTCAGCTCCAGTCCCTGAGTCTGCTCCAGTGTCGGCTCCAGTCCCTGAGTCAGCTCCAGTGTCGGCTCCAGCCCCTCCAGTGTCGGCTCCAGTCCCTGAATCCGCTCTAGTGTCGGCTCCAGTCCGAGTCTGCTCCAGTGTCGGCTCCAGTCCCGGAGTCTGCTCCATTGTCGGCTCCAGCCCCTGAGTCAGCTCCAGTGTCGGCTCCAGTCCGAGTCTGCTCCAGTGTCGGCTCCAGTCCCTGAGTCTGCTCCAGTGTCAGCTCCAGTCCCTGAGTCTGCTCCAGTGTCGGCTCCAGTCCCTGAGTCTGCTCCAGTGTCGGGTCCAGTCCCTGAGTCTGCTCCAGTGTCGGCTCCAGTCCCTGAGTCTGCTCCAGTGTCAGCTCCAGTCCCTGAGTCTGCTCCAGTGTCGGCTCCAGTCCCTGAGTCTGCTCCAGTGTCGGCTCCAGTCCCTGAGTCTGCTCCAGTGTCGGCTCCAGTCCCTGAGTCTGCTCCAGTGTCGGCTCCAGTCCCTGAGTCTGCTCCAGTGTCAGCTCCAGTCCCTGAGTCTGCTCCAGTGTCGGCTCCAGTCCCTGAGTCTGCTCCAGTGTCGGGTCCAGTCCCTGAGTCTGCTCCAGTGTCGGCTCCAGTCCCTGAATCCGCTCTAGTGTTGGCTCCAGTCCCTGAGTCTGCTCCAGTCCCTGAGTCTGCTCCAGTGTCGGCTCCAGTCCCTGAATCCGCTCTAGTGTTGGCTCCAGTCCCTGAGTCTGCTCCAGTGTCGGCTCCAGTCCCTGAATCCGCTCTAGTGTTGGCTCCAGTCCCTGAGTCTGCTCCAGTGTCGGCTCCAGTCCCTGAATCCGCTCTAGTGTTGGCTCCAGCCCCTGAGTCCACTCCAGTGTCGGCTCCAGCCCGAGTCCACTCCAGTGTCGGCTCCAGTCCCCGAGTCAGCTTCAGTGTCAGCTCCAGTCCCTGAGTTTACTCCAGTGTCGGCTCCAGCCCCTGAGTCAGCTCCAGTATCGGCTCCAGTCCCTGAATCCACTCCAGTGTCGGCTCCACCCCCTGAGTCAGCTCCAGTGTCGGCTCCAGTCCCCGAGTCAGCTCCAGTGTCGGCTCCAGCCCCCGAGTCAGCTCCAGTATCGGCTCCAGTCCCTGAATCCACTCCAGTGTCGGCTCCAGCCCCTGAGTCAGCTCCAGTGTCGGCTCCAGTCCCCGGACCGCGAGTCAGCTCCAGTGTCTGCTCCAGTCCCTGAGTCGGCTCCAGCCCCTGAGTCAGCTCCAGTGTCGGCTCCAGTCCCTGAGTCAGCTCCAGTGTCGGCTCCAGCCCCTCCAGTGTCGGCTCCAGTCCCTGAGCCCACTCCAGTGTCGGCTCCAGCCCATCCAGTGTCGGCTCCAGCCCCTGAGTCCGCTCCAGTGTCGGCTCCAGTCCCTGAGTCCACTCCAGTGTCGGCTCCAGCCCATCCAGTGTCTACTCCAGTCCCTGAGTCCGCTCCAGTGTCGGCTCCAGCCCCTCCAGTGTCTGCTCCAGTCCCTGAGTCCATTCCAGTGTCGGCTCCAGCCCCAGAGTCTATACGAGAATTCCCCCCAGACCAAGAGTCTGCTCGAGAGTTCAGCCAAGAGTCTCAAGCCAGCTGCCTTTCCAGACGATCTATGTTCTCTAGCCAATCTGATCTGCCTGAGGTTAAGTTCGTCTGTTCGGATGTGGTGGTCTTCGGCTCCGCCTTGGAGGTCTTCAGGTCCACTGTTGAGATCTACTGTTCTGCCAGCTCCACCTTGGGAGTCTTCAACTCCGCCCAGCATCATGGACCTTCTGCTCTGGATTCTACCCTTGCTCATCCTGTCCTGGCTTCTTCCTCCCCAGTTGGATTTATTTTGGTGCGAAGTTGCACCTTTAGGGAGGGGGGAGTACTGCCACAATCCTCAGTCACCGGCCCTGTCACCACAGAACTACATTTCCCAGCATCCCTCCTGGTTCCCACCTGCACTCAGTCAGCCATCACCACACCTGCCACTGGTTATCACCTCATCAACACATAAGCACTCACCTCATGGTCTGGTCTCGTTGGACGCTAGCATATGTTAACTTACCTTTTGATCCATACCGAGCTACTTACCCGACTACCTTCCAGTGACATTTACCCGTGTTTCATTATCTTCAGCCTTCGGTCATCTTCAGTCTCCAGCCCTCCAGTTTGCACCTTTAACGACAAGAACAGTTATTCACAGCTAAGTGTTTGCTGCTATTAATGAAGGTCACTCGCCTACTTGCATCATTTGTTTCCTGCACTTACCTGCAAATAAACACCCTTTGTGGAAGTTACCTTTGTGCTGTATTCTTGTTTGCTGACAGTTATAATATAATGTTACTGTTTACTGTATTTTTGATCAAATAAATGCAGCCTTGGTGAGCAGAATAGATATCAAAAAAGGTAATGGTTGTGTATGGATAAACTCTCAGGCTCATGTATGGTAGCAATAATTAATAAGTTACCTTTGCGTTTATAAAAGGTAATCACTTTAATGACACATCTTCTTTTTGCTTTATTCTCCAGTTCCATGGATTTTTTAAGGGCATGTCATTTCCTGTCCTCTCTGTTGCCCTTAGCAATGCTGTGGCCTTTGGTTCCTACTGTAATGCCCTGGATTACCTGACCCGGTCCAACCGCAGCGGCTCTGACCAAAACAAGCGCTCGCCGCTCACAGCGGTGTTCATTGCTGGATGCTTCTCAGGTCTAGCACAGGCACGTCGGGGGATCAAGCCTGCAAAACACCAAAACAATCTAAAAGAGCACATTGCATGTCACTAATTTGTGCTGTTTTGATCCTCTCCTCCGACAGTTGTTTGTTACAGCTCCGATAGACCTGGTCAAAGTGCGTCTGCAGAACCAGACGGAGGGCAGGCCAGGTGGGAGTAAATACAGAGGCCCCATGCATTGTGTAGCTGTGATCTTACGGGAGGACGGGGTGAGAGGGCTTTTCAGAGGAGCGTGGGCTCTGGCCCTACGAGACGTGCCTTGTTACGGACTTTACTTTCTGCCGTACGAGCTCATGTGCAGGATGATGACTGAGGAAGGAAAGCAGCCAGGTGATTGGGAATGAATAAATAAATTAAGAAATAAATATTCATACATTAAATAAATATTTTTATGGCTGTATATTACATTGTATATTATACTATACATTAGTATTTTATATTTTTAAGTTTACATTTATGAAGAATTGTAAAAAATAAAAAATCTAATATTTATATTTATAGCATATTAATATGCATACAGTATATTATATTCATATTGTATATATTAATGGCTGTGTGTACTATATTATAATATATATATATATATATATATATATAGATATAATATATATTAGTATATTCATAAGTTTGTATTTATGGCTTTATTTACAGTGTGTAAATATATAGATATTTACATTTTTGGGAAGTTTATTCAAATGTAATCAAATATTAATTTATGTTTATGGTATATTCATATACATATAATGTATGTGATATAATTTATGTTAGGTTAAGTTTATATGTATTATAAATACAGTATATTATATACATATTTTTGTTATTAATGGCTGTGTGTTCTATATATTATATAGTATATGTATATATGTGTGTATATATAGAGAGAGATAGATATAGATAATATACATTCAAATTATATACAAATTATTTAGTCTTTTAAACTTTTGGGAAGTTTAATAAAATGTAATAAAATATATTATATGGTATAATATTACATAATAATAGAATTTATGTAATATTATAATTTATGTAAGTATATTTGTAAGTTAAGGGTAACACTTCACAATAAGGTTCCATTAGTCAAGGTTAATCAATGCATTCATATTATTAACTAACAATGAGCAATACATTCATTACAGTACATATTAATCTTTGCTAACATCAATTAACAAAAATACAACTGTTCATGTTAGGTTCATTAACTAATGTTAACAGATACAACTTTTGATTTTAATCATGTATTAGTAAATGTTGAGATTAACATTAACTGAGATTAATAAATGTTTTTTTATCGTTATTCCGTAACAAATTAAATCTTATTTTAAAGCGTTACCAATTTATGAAATATAAATATTACTATAAAATATTTTATATATAAAAATATAACATTTTATGAGATATTAATTGATATTTATATACATATAGTATATTATATTTGTAAGTTTATTCTGTTCTGTGATTTGTGAAGACCGGTTGAAACGACTACTTGGCTAAATGATTAAAGCGGCTTACAAAAGGCAGTTCAGAAGCCCAAACATGATCAGTTGAGTAATATAACCATCATGTGTGCTTCAGGTAAGGATGCAGTGCTATTGGCCGGTGGTGTTGCTGGTGTGGTCACATGGGCCTGCGCTACACCCATGGACGTGGTGAAGGCTCGCCTGCAGATGTGTGGAGGTGGCGGTCGAGTGTATGCTGGTGTTCTGCACTGCATCACTGTGAGTGTGTGTGAAGAGGGCGTGCGAGTGCTGTTCAAAGGCCTTCTCCTGAACAGCGTCAGAGCGTTCCCTGTGAATGCTGTGACCTTCCTCAGCTTTGAGATGCTAATGAGAGCCATGACTGACGACTCCTCACACTGAGTTCTGCAGGGATGGTGGAGTTATAGGCCCAAACCTGATACCTGTTAGCATTTTAGCACTGGTTCCTGAAGTCAATGGGTTTTTGGTTAAATGACAAGCTCACGATATTTATTTATTAAAGCCCTTATTTGTGTTGCTAACAAGCGTCTAAATGTCACTACAGAGGTTGTAGACATTAAACATCATCCCATCAAACTCATCTACTCACTTGTCACTATCTGACTGACTAAATCTCAATGGTGATGACGTTCAAGTCATGTGACCGTGGTTCATTTCCACTTACTTCTGGTGATTGTGTTTAAGCTTCAAAATTAAAAAAAAGTTATGGTCATTTATGAATTATTATCATGATGGACAAAATGTGTAAGTATCATAACCTTTTGTTGGTCACAGTGCTTATTTTCTGCAATAATCCAAAAGCCAATGGAAAAATCCCATTGGGTTTTAGTCGAGGGAAACCGATACAAAAATACATCATCACTTCAGCCCTCGTTTAGTGCCTTTACAGCTGATGACATCATAGTGGTGCTGATCTTGGCGTTTCCCAGCGACTCGAATATTTGGATATTGTTCATTAGTGGTAATTTAAAATGCGGAGACAAAGTACTCACTTTTTTATATGTATATCAAATGTAAATTTATGTCCCGGTTACATTTAATTTTCTTGGTTAAATGAACAACATAAAAAGAGAGACCATACAATTCTATTTTGTATTTTTACACGATGAAATTTATACTTGGTTTAGTAAATAGAACATTGCATAAAGTTTTTACACATTTCACACTCCAAAATAATAAAGGCAATAACAATTTAAACTATATATATTATTTGTAAACTAATGTTCAGCTTTTCTTTTTAATGGTCAACTTATTTCCAGCAGTCATCAAGCTTGTACACACTGTTCTCAGACACGAAGATGTACCTTTAATTTCAACAAGCTGATCGATCAACAAAAACGCGATGTTAGGATAGGATGATCTCATTAAATTTACATACGAATAAAGCGACTCTCTGACCCGTTTCACTGAATGAAATGCTTTTATTAAGCACAGAAAATAAATCTGACTTGTACCTCAATTTGTGTATACACTGCCCGGCCCGGCAAAAAAAAAAAAAAAAAAAAAAAAAAAAAGCAAGTAGGGCTGTCAAACGATTAATCGCGATTAATCGCATCCAAAATAAAAGTTTGTGTTTACATAATATATGTGTGTGTACTGTGTATAATTATTTTTAACCCTCTGGGGTACTTCATTTTAGACTCACACTCAGGACTTTCGGGTCAAAAATGACCCGGAGGGCGGCATTAAGATACATTTTATTTGAGTAAAATCAATGAAATATATTTTTGTTCAATAATATTTTTTCTTTTCTTTTTTGGTGTTTTGAGATAATTTTATGATTTATAATTAATATTTATGCAATAATTAAGACCCATTTTTTCCCATTGAATATAATAGAAAATTTATATATATATATATATATAATTAAAAAAAATGTTTTATTAAAGCTGTATTTCATTTTAGAGTCAAGTCTAGGCCTCATGAAAGCAATTTTGGAAATGAGATCGGAGCCATCTGGTGGACACACTAAGCATTTTTATCACGCAATAGCACATTTTTACCACTAGTGGATTTACAGCTCTCTGTAGAAACCTATGGTAGAAACACTCTAGTGATTTTTTTCATATATTGTTTAATTTTTTTCAGGTTGTTGATTTGAATATATAATAACAGATTCTCAAAGACTATTTTTGTCATTTTTTTTTATTAAATTTTTTTTTTTTTTTTTTTTGTGGTTGGTTTAAATGGTAATTTGAAGTGGCAGTTTTACTTTATAATACAGTCAAACCTGAACATTGCATTATAAAGAGAACAAATGGAAAACATTTAGTCACCCATTGTTTTAAGAGATTCACCCCTTCACTGTTGTGTGCTTTTTTTTCTGCATCCTGGCTGTTTTGCAGATTGTATGCACAAAAAAACTCTGTATTTTCACATTTTTGCCAATTTCCCATTCATTTCCTATGGGGGTCATTTTTGACCCGAAGGTCCTGAGTGTGACTATGTTTTTTTTTACGACCACTTAAGACTTTTCAAATCCTGTCCCCAATTGTTTTGGGTGTTCATATACCAAGTACCAAAAAAGTCACCAAGTTTCGGACAATTCCGATGAAGCTACAATTTTTAACATTTATTTTAAAAACGCTTCGGGACATTTTTGTCCCGAAGTACTATAAATACCCACACATGCATGTGTATTTAAGAAATATTTGCATATATATACTGTATATAGACTGAATGTAGCCTATATATAATGTATATTTTATATAAATATAAACATTTTATATATAAATAACATTTTTCTTAAATATATACTTGTGTGCATTTATATACAAAATAATTATACATTTTGGATGCGATTAATCGTGATTAATCGTTTGACAGCCCTAAAAGCATGTGCTTAAGAGTCAATGACTGGATCATTATTGCTGTGATTATGTTGTTTCTAGCATGTTTGGCAACAGTTCTTCTAACCCTAATCGATGGAGTGTGTAGCTTTTCATCTTTTAAACAACCATAGGAAACACATGGTCATATTCCAGGATGACAATGTCAAGATTCATCAGGCTCAGATTGAGGAGCATTAAGAATCATTTACACACATGAATCTGCTCCTCTGAGTCCAGGGGCCTGTACCATGAAGGTAGCTGAACAAACTCGGAGTTACAGGATTAGTTTTGAGTTGACAAAACCAAACCGATGCAATCAGGCTTTATTGGTACCATGACGCAGCTCATCAACTTTCTCTGTCAACTCAGGCTTTGATCTTAAGCTATGATTACTCCACGAGCGCGTGCACATACCAAAGTGACGTTGGCACCGAACAACCAATCGCGTTCGAAATGGATAGAGCGAGAGCGATATTTTCTTTCCGCGGAGGAGCAATAGATAATCATTCATAATTACGATGAATTTAAATATGTATTACAAGCTTGAAACAATACGGTCTCTGCTGCCAAAGCAAGAGAAGACTGTTGGAGAAAGATTGCTGATTGTGTTAATGTGTAAGCTAAATAAATGTGTTCTTTATTCATGTCAAATGATGTATATATCGGCTATGAATGTATGTGTGTGTGAAATATAGCCTATATTTTTATAATATATAAAAAAAATTGCATATACTAATAAAGATTAATATTCATTGATTTTTAGATGCAACTCCAAACGTTCTTGGCAGCTGATAAAGACAAAATATAAAAATAAAATTCAAAGTAGCCTAGTAAGTATTTACACACAACCTTTTATTATTTTATTATTAACACTTGTTTGAGGCAAACCGAAAAAAAGAGTGAAATTCAGAAAACCAGTGGAGGGCCACTCCTCCAGAATACACTGAGTTGGCTCTGATAGGAATAAGGGACGGCCGATTTTGGATGAGATTACAGGTGCTGTACAGTCTGACCCTGGTGCCGGCTCCTCGAAGCAAGTAACACTGGGTACGTGTGCGATACATTACTATTTTAAGTTTTAAATATGGCTGACTGTATGTTCTGCAGTAGAGGGAAATGCAGTGTCCCTGTTGAAGCCAGCACACACACACACACACAGTCTCCCACACAGAGGTCAGTATGCAGCAGACAGAACACCAGAAACATATAGGCCTACTTTTATTTATCAGGGAGGAGGAAATGATGAAGACACTCTGTCTGTGTTCTGGGACAGTGGCTGAGGTGAATGCACTGGGCTTTTTATTAAGGCAAACATTTGAATGTGTGGCATAAAACAGGGACTGGCCCAAGTTACACATCTCTTTTATTGTAGGATTTTTCACAACCTGTCCCAGAAACTGAAGCCTCAACCTCTACAGGCTTCAAAAGAAATGTGAACAAGGTAAGGATTTAAAACCCTTGACATATATTACAGGTGTTTGTCAAGGAACTTTTTGTAAGTTGATTAGCCTCCCAAAAACTTGTAATGATCATGTTCGTGGTGGAATTATTTTTCAGGTGGAAACAGACTCAGTCAGGGCCCTTTACAAAAGGAGCCTATAGAGCTAGACTGCACACTAAAGGAGCCTATAGAGCTAGACTGCACACTAAAGGAGCCTATAGAGCTAGACTACACACTAAAGGAGCCTATAGAGCTAGACTGCACACTAAAGGAGCCTATAGAGCTAGACTGCACACTAAAGGAGCCTATAGAGCTAGACTGCACACTAAAGGAGCCTATGGAGCTAGACTACACACTAAAGGAGCCTATAGAGCTAGACTGCACACTAAAGGAGCCTATAGAGCTAGACTGCACACTAAAGGAGCCTATAGAGCTAGACTGCACACTAAAGGAGCGTATGGAGCTAGACTGCACACTAAAGGAGCCTATAGAGCTAGACTGCACACTAAAGGAGCCTATGGAGCTAGACTGCACACTAAAGGAGCCTATGGAGCTAGACTGCACACTAAAGGAGCCTATAGAGCTAGACTGCACACTAAAGGAGCCTATAGAGCTAGACTGCACACTAAAGGAGCCTATAGAGCTAGACTGCACACTAAAGGAGCCTATAGAGCTAGACTACACACTAAAGGAGCCTATAGAGCTAGACTGCACACTAAAGGAGCCTATAGAGCTAGACTGCACACTAAAGGAGTCTATGGAGCTAGACTGCACACTAAAGGAGCCTATAGAGCTAGACTGCACACTAAAGGAGCCTATGGAGCTAGACTGCACACTAAAGGAGCCTATAGAGCTAGACTGCACACTAAAGGAGCCTATGGAGCTAGACTGCACACTAAAGGAGCCTATGGAGCTAGACTGCACACTAAAGGAGCCTATAGAGCTAGACTGCACACTAAAGGAGCCTATGGAGCTAGACTGCACACTAAAGGACCCTATGGAGCTAGACTGCACACTAAAGGAGCCTATAGAGCTAGACTGCACACTAAAGGAGCCTATGGAGCTAGACTGCACACTAAAGGAGCCTATAGAGCTAGACTGCACACTAAAGGAGCCTATAGAGCTAGACTGCACACTAAAGGAGCCTATAGAGCTAGACTGCACACTAAAGGAGCCTATGGAGCTAGACTGCACACTAAAGGAGCCTATAGAGCTAGACTGCACACTAAAGGAGCCTATAGAGCTAGACTGCACACTAAAGGAGCCTATAGAGCTAGACTGCACACTAAAGGAGCCTATGGAGCTAGACTGCACACTAAAGGAGCCTATAGAGCTAGACTGCACACTAAAGGAGCCTATAGAGCTAGACTGCACACTAAAGGAGCCTATAGAGCTAGACTGCACACTAAAGGAGCCTATAGAGCTAGACTGCACACTAAAGGAGCCTATAGAGCTAGACTGCACACTAAAGGAGCCTATGGAGCTAGACTGCACACTAAAGGAGCCTATAGAGCTAGACTGCACACTAAAGGAGCCTATGGAGCTAGACTGCACACTAAAGGAGCCTATAGAGCTAGACTGCACACTAAAGGAGCCTATAGAGCTAGACTGCACACTAAAGGAGCCTATAGAGCTAGACTGCACACTAAAGGAGCCTGACTGTGAGCTGAGGAGGCTCCACATTTAAAAAATAAATGCAACAGCTGGATTAAACTGATCTCAGTATGTGAACTTATTTAACCAAGTAACACTTTAGCATAGCATGAATATTTATTAATGCAACTTTCTATTGCTCTCTTACTCCCCCCCCCCCCCTTTAGGATGCCAAAGATCATCTCTAACTTTTACTATGATTTTACTGACACATGAGGGTCATGATAGGGAATTATTGTGTAGGTTTTGCTGTCCCAATTCAAATTAACAGTGTTTTGTACTGTACCAAATTTAACTAGCTTTCCTCAAAGCGATGACACAACATACTCACGGAAAGTAGATTGTTATCTGTTAATTTTACTATTCATTTAAAGATTCATCTCACAGAAAATAATAATTTCACATGTTCACATAATCTCTATCTGAACATTAAGGCTGTGAAAGGACTTTCTATTAACATAATCTGCCTCATGTTCTCCTAGAGAAGTGGAGATTGCAACATGTGTGCAGGCTATTGCTCCAATGACTCTATAGGGAATCCTATCATAAGATTAACCAAAAAAAAAAAAAAAAAGATTCAAAATAATGCTTAACATGTACTGTATTGTACAGTACATTTGTGAAATTTGCTTTTTGAAAAAAAAAAAAAACGTGATGTCACCCTATCAATATATCTTACCGGCAATTTTATAAAAACCCTCTTATGGACATGGTCAATAAATGTCTGGGGAACACTATTAAACTATTAATGTACTCCTGCAGAGCGAGGACCACCTTGCGAATGGTTCGACAAACCGTGTTTTCCCCTAGATTCTGTGCATCACCGATCGTGCAAGTATGTAGGCTACCCACTTGCAAAAAAAACGCAACGCAATACCATTTATGGTACAGTAAGTGCATGAATTCGATGTGTTAAATTATTTATGTGCGGCTCAAGAAGTTCGAAAAAACTTGAAGTTCAGAAAAGGCAAGGGGATTTTGTCCGGCTAAAAACTCTTTCTCTACGATGTGCTCGTCTAACAATTTGCGCTGAGATGTCCACAGGATTTGAAAGAAAATGTAAAGCCATTGCAACAAGCACTGGGAATTAGTTACGTCACCTATATGTTTCTTTGCTCACAGCTGATTGGTCAAACTTCAGTCTGAGATCTCGAATCCAGAACTTAACCTGCCCCGGAGCAGGTTAGCCGTGCAGCGTAAGGTACCATGGCAACGAACACCGATTAAAGCCGAGCTACTTTCATAGTACCTAAAACCCAGGGTTGGTGGAAACTAAGCTGAAACATAGCTGGCTAGCCACCTAAACCGGCTTCATGGTATAGGCCCCTGATCTTAAACTCATTTAAAGTGTTTGTGATGTGCTGGAAGAGACGTTACAGAGTTGGACTCTTGCATTATCAATACAAGATCTGGTCCTAAAACTGATGCGCCTCTTGATGGAAACAACATTTGGTCAAGATCCTGTATGTACGGTTTGTACATCAGGTGTTTGCTGGATATTTTTGACCTGTTTGTACATACAAGAACACTCTTACTCTGAAACAAAGATTACGCTCATTTCATCGGGTCTTTGCTTCCTAAGCCAGAGACGTTTATTTCAACGTTTATTACAAGATATTTAGTCTTGCAAATCCTGTTTCTGTTCACATTTCCTTGTCCTTCGTTTTCTGAGCCGTTTTTCATTAATTCACACCCGTCTCAATTCTTCAACAAAAAAAAACAAAGAAAAACCTAAGCTTGCTCAATGCTGAACAAATCAGGCAATTTCAGAGACCAGCAAGCAAAAAAGCCACTTACAAGGGGCCATTTATAACTATTATTCAGTCTTACCATATTAAAAACAAAACCTTGCTACTAAATACTTCATTGATGGCATTTGTGCTCTAGGAAACAAAGATATACATAACATATCTATTAATACATTTTGAAATATTACCAACTAAAAAGTTGGTCACTTGGTTATTTCATTTTTTCAAATTATTTATTAATATACAACCGATAGGGTCGGTTTCAGAAAAACATGTCATATTTCCTTCCTCCCTAATTTATACACTTTGTCCTTGTCGATCAGCACAAAGCCTAATAAAATGTCCTACAAGATCTAGGTACAGAGGACTTGTGGCTTAAAATAAAAATTTGTAAGAGAAAGAAGTGCCGTTCTTGCATCTCACAAATATGATTTTTCTTCTACCATTCATAATTTTGTTTAAGCTATTGTTTTCTCTAATGCACAGATTTAACCTGCCCAGTGAAAACTTAATGAAAACACAATACCATATCTTAGTGCAAACAGCTTTTCTGGATGTTAAAATTTATTTTTTGATGCCAAAATACTTCATGACCTGAGATGAAAAAAGAATTCTAAATTTGTACAAACAGTAAATCAACCTCTATGTTATTCCTTAAACAATCAACCAAATATTAAATTGCTAATTGACATATATCTAAATGAAAAAGTTCACCCTGAAATCACACAATAAAGTTTAAGAGAGTGTCGAACACTTCTCTTAATTTCCTGGTCCTGTTCATTCAAACAAACTAAATTAGTTTGCATTCATTTTGATCTCAACACATACAAATATCATCTTAAAAACATTTGATTTCTTAATTTCCCTCTACATGTTCCCATTCTCTGTTTGGTCTCATTTTGTAATGCTTGTGTATGGTCATGTGACATTAAGTGCCGTACTTTCTTCTGATGTTTGCATGTCATCCTAGTGTTACCGCAGAAGCACAGTCCAATCTGCCGCCGCGTTGACCGCTGGCTTGCGTAGAGTCAAAACTGCATGTGTAGAGTCGAACTCAAACTCTAACGTCGACTCGGTACCATCTGAAAAAATAAATAAATAAATCAATCATTCCATATGTTGTGCAAAATCTTAACTGGTTTTACTTCTGGACCCAAATTTACTTTGGACAACACCAAAATTGAACAAAAATGTCCAAAATTTTAGTTTGAATTAATTTGTATCAACATGAGCTGGATAAACCCAACAACATGTGTCCATTTGTCCATGCATAAACAACAGAAGTACGACTGTATAAATGTTTGGTTTCTAAATGCTGTCAAAGGGCTAATAATTGTTGACTGAACCATTATCATTATAGGTATTTATAGTGAATCGGTATTTAAAAAGTCATGTTTTGTAGTTGTAGTTAAGTTGGCTAACTTCTACAAAATGACGTATGCCATTTAAAAACATTGTTTGAGATCTAATTTTATTGATTGCAAGGCACTGGATATTAAAAACAAAAGGATATGGCAAAAGGCAACTTAAAGAACAAAACGAGCAATTTATGATACAAAAACAAACATCATCACCGTCATATATTAGACTAGCAACAGTGACACCGACCTGCATTTCTCAGAGTAACGGAGGACGGCTGACTGCCTCCGATGATCACAATCTTTTCTATCCAGGAGCCAGTGGAGAACTGGGAGTCTGGGGACAGATTTCTGACAACACAAGAGATGAGAAACAGCATGGCAGTGATGCGTGACTGCACTTTTCTGTCCACAGATCACTTTTACTTCTGTTTATACATTTCTCAAACACCAAGAAACTCTGCGAAGGCTGTGACGCACCAAGCCGACAGTTTTTGCGGTGTGTTCTTCTGCAGCGTCGGCACAAGTCAGACCCAAGAGTGGATACTTTGAGCGATTAATCACGTTTAACCGGTTTGTTTTCCGCCGTCGGTGAGCGAGAGAACTCTGGCTGTTCTGTCATCTTACCCGAGCATTTCAATACGTGAATATTTTCAGAACGATGGCCGTCTGGAGTGAAGAAAGTGATCAACATGATTCATATTCAAAATGGTAAGCAATAACTGCTTTGCTTTTCTGGTTGTACATCCACAGTCCTAGTTTGGGTTTCCCATTTTAAATGACGAATATAAAACATCGAAACCTGCTGATATAGACCGTTATTTATTCTCATGCGGACACAAAACAAATGCTAGTTTGCCGTTGGCTGTAGTCTGCGCTGTGTGTTCAAGCGCAGCTTCTTTTTTTCTCTCACACACATCTGGTCCACTATCTTTGTGGGGACTCTCCATAGACGTAATGATTTTTATACTGTACAAACTGTATATTCTGTCCCCTTACACTAACCCGACCCCTAAACCTACCTATCACACAAAACTTTCTGCTCTTTTACATTTTCTAAAAAACATTATTAAGTATGTTCATTAATCAATTTCCCTTGTGTGGACCATTGGCTAGTCCGCACAATGTGGGTGATTTCACGTTTTACTATTCTTGTGGGGACATTTGGTCCTCACAATGTAATTAAAACAACACGCACGGCTTTCATCACTAGCTCTTTGATGTCGGTTTGGTGTCACAGCCTTAAAGAAAACAGCAGACTAACCTGGAGGACAACATGTTGGCAGAGAAAGACAGACGTCTGTGGACAAACTGCTTTGACGTTTCAAAGTTGAAGGTATGGAAGTCATCGATGTACAGCTCTCCTTCAGCAGAGCCCTGGAGCAGAAGACAGCAGTGAACGTGCAGCACTGATGGCCTGTTTACAGCTGCTATTAAGATGCGTTTTGGTGGATCGGATCACAAGTGGACGACACTAAATACAGGTGTAAACGGGGTCTAAGGCCTCGTTTACACTGTCAGTGAAATGTGACCCAATTCCGATTTTTTACTCGTATGCGACACAGATCGGATGTGTTCTAAAAAAAACGCATGCATTCGGATATTTCGAGATCGGTTTCAGGCCTCGTTCATATGTGGAAATAAATCAGATATAAATCAGATATGTGCCAATGCGACTCATGTAAACAGGCTGATCGGATTTTCTGGAGGCATTAGGCTACGTCTCCACAGTTTAATGACGAGAGAAACCCCGACGCGCATCTGCGGATGGACGGATGGCCCGACGAAACATTGTGTCGTCGTAGGAGAGGAATGTGGACACACGTTGACAACATATCAAAGGTTGGCTTGCTCATCCTAAAATTTCGGACCCACTGCGCCTCGTTAAAGATCTGCGCCTGCGCCACGATCTCATGAAAGTGCGTATATTGAACTTTTTTTTTTTTTACGTGCCATTTACGCCAAAAATATTTTTTCTGTGCATGATACGCACTTTATGGCGTTCAATACGCACGTTTACAGTGCGTGTCATATGCAAGCAAAAACTATTTTTGGCGTAGCCTATAAATGGCAAAAGAAATAAAATTCGTGCTATATTCACTTTCATGAGATCGTGTTGTATGTTCCCACCAGTCCTGAGATCTCGCTGTGCGTTCGTCCATCTGAGCAAGAAGACCCCTTTAAACATGCACGATGTTTCAGTCAAGTGTAAACACATGACTCGGATATGGGTCACAATTTAAAGAACGTGTAAACGGACGGTCAAAAAAAAAAAATCGGATATGGGCAACAAATCAGAATTGGGCATCAAGACCTGCAGTGTAAACGAGGCCTAATACGCTTTGAGCTTGTCCACTTTCGAACACTTTCAGAGGTAGTGGAAAACACATTCGACCGGATTGCTGTCGTAGTGTAAACGCTCATGTGATCGAATGTGTTCAAACAGCCACAGAAGAAACGTTACTGGCCTAATGTGTAAACATTATGAGAAGAGCTCTAGCCAGACGGGATTTAAACTTTGTCGCCTGAGGACTCAATTTTGGACTGAAGAGGAAAAACGTACCAAGCACAATGTTCTCTCGTCATTCCTGATTTCTAACACACACTCACAGTGTACGGCGTGATCTTGCGGCTGTCAGAGCAGAAACTAAAGCTGATGCTCTCCGTATGTTCTTCCGTCGTCTCCAGTCATGTTCATATGTACATTGTGAGAGCTTATTTTGTCCAATAGACCGAAAGATCTTAAAAAACCCATACATTTACCCGCCCATAGACCCTCGCCTCGAAGACATCAGGACAGAAGTGGTTGAAAGTGGACAAAAGAGGCGGGTTAAAACACCAGGTGTAAAAGGAAATGTGTCTCCCTCATCTAATTGTGATCCGATCGACCAAAACGCATCTTAATACCAGCTGTAAACAGGTTGAAAGATGAAAACAATATCCATGTATACCGTCACATTCTGTTTGGATTTTACTGCTTCACATACACACCAGGATAGGATGAATTACCTGAGAACTGAGAGCAACATAGAGACTGTATGGATCATTCTCCATACAGGAGGAAGACCTCCTAACACGGTCTTTCCTGCAGATAATGGACCCTCCTCGCTGGAAAACTGGGATCTGGAACACGAGACCGAGGAAGTGCAGAAGCAACAAATAGAAAGGTAGGATTTAGTTGTTTGATAAAGACTGAAGCACACAGTATAGTTGCAGGAAACAATTATAGAAACTATTCCTGAAATAAGTCTATAGGAAAACTGTTTGGAATATAAAAATCCATTGGACCCGTCATGGAAATGTCTAAAAATAATCTGAACCAGTGTGTATTTAGTATTATTCAGATACTAGTATAGTTATAAGTTAGTAATTTTTGTTGTCATTTTTATGTAGTAAAAAAAAAAAGTCAATATAGCTTTTATTTTAGTTTGTTATTTTAGTACACTAAGTTGAATTCAAGGAAAATTAAATTCTAACTGAAATAAATATTTTATTTTATTTAAAGCAACAACAATGTTTTTTTATGGCTTCAGTTAACTATAATAACCCTGATTTGAACCAAACTTGATTGAGCAATGTAAAAAAAAAAACAAGAACACTGTTTTGGCTGCTAATTTATGCAATCTTTACAAACAAATGAAAGTCAATAACAGAAAAGGTCAGGGCTTACTGAGCTCATAGTGACAGGAATGTAGAGGCTCTGATCCCCATCATGCTTCTGGAAAGTGTGAACATCGTACCAGACCTACAAAAGAAACCCAGAGGAAGTGTTTGAGACTTTAGAGAGACTTAGGTTGTGTTCACACTTATTGTTCGGTTTGCTTGGTCCGGACCAAAAAAACCCGAACCATTTAGTCCTGGTCCATTTAACAATGGCATTTTAACATCGAACCTAAACACGTTTTATTCAAACAAACCGCACTAACAGAGCAATTGATGCCAAGAAGTGTGAACACACCCTCTGAGGAAATAAAAATCCATTCAGGGTGTGCCATTCATTGTTGAGAAATACATTACCTCGCCTTTCCCAGGCAGAAAGGCAGTAACACCATTAGCGCCCTCATCGGTAACGGGGTGTACCAGTAAATCCTTCCCTATGAAAAGAAATAAATCTGTGTTAGCCTTCTCTGCCACAACAGTTATTTGGGATAATCATAATTCATGTTTAAAAACTCACCAATCAAGTACTCATCCTCAATTGAGAAAGTGGCTACGTCATCAGGATACTCTACCCATAAAGGTCTATGAAAAGATTGAGTCAATCAATGATATGATCCCTTAAATAACATTGCTTGCAAATTGCAGTTTGTTTTTTAAACCTAATACTACATTTGGTGTTTTAAGTGTTTACTAATCTAAACGCCTCTGATTGGCCATTGCACTCATAATGCCGGAAGCTAATGATTTTAGTTTAAGTTTTAAATGTGGATATTTTTCTTACAAAAGTGCATCGCTGCACTTCAGAAGGCCTTTATTAACCCCCTTATTAACCCCCTGGAGCCATATAGATTACTTTTATGATGGATGATGTGTTCGGCTGAAAGACAGTCATATTCACCTAGGATGGCTTGAGGGTGAGTCAATTATGGGATGATTTTCATTTTTGGGAGAACAACTCCTTTAACCCAGAGGTTCTCAAACTTTTTTGGTCACGGCCCCCTTTAAAACATTTTTTTTTTTTTTTTATCTGGTGCATTCACACTGGCTGCTTGTGATCCAATCCACTGAAGAGGTGCTTTTCTATGGCGAGGAACTTCTGTCAGGCTTGTTCACACGGTGACAAGTCAATGATCTGAAGAACAACGATTCAATGGAATTGGTGTTCAGTGCGGCTTCATAAAGGCAGAGCGCCAACTGCTATTCACACACTTGAAGGCCCCGTACACACCGGGACGAATATCGGCGCACGTTATTCAACGTTTTTCAACGCGTTTGTGTTCACACCCAAGCGATTTTCGCTGACGATGAGCCGAGTGAACATGCAAATTCATTCCCTGACATTAGATGGCGCTTAATGTAAAACAGAAATAGTCCTATTTTGTAGTCGCTGTCGCGTTTGTCATATAGTTCTTTATGTTCCGACACCAGCAGCTCTACATTCCAGTGTTTCCCCTAGGATTTTTTTTCAGAGGGGGGGGGGGGGGGTTCGGGGGACTGCTAGTGTTGCGGAGCGGGCGTGTTACGGATACGTGGTGTACATTTTTTAGCAATCAAAAAGCATGTCTAATTAATTGAAATAGTGTATTATGAATTATTAAACGTATACAAGATTTTAAAAAAAAATGAAAAATTTCACACTAATTCTGTGTTGTTTTTTCTGGTAATAAAATGAAGACATAAAACACAAATTTTATCATTTATCATCAATTTTAATCATATGAAATTAAATAAACTTTTTGTCAAATAACGTGCTGCACAATGAGCTTTACTGTTAAAATTAAAACATGGATTATTCCTTAAATTCAGTTTTGATGATAATTTATTTGGATTAGTGTTAGTATTATTACATTGGGACATATCTAAATTCTACTGTACAACGGTAATATATCTCTGTCAAGTTAAACCGAACTTTTATTTTGACGGGTTGCCGTGAAGACCTTTTGAGTTTGTGTGTTTGTCATAATGAAGCGGTTAAATGATCACGAAGTGACTTTCGGAGTGGATCTAGAGCCTGGAGAGGAAGTTTATGCATTTGTGTCTTCATATAGGCCAAAAAAACAGCGCAAGCGTCACACGTCCTTCAGTGTGTGTGTGTGTTAAATTAAACTGCGCGTCGGCTGCACCATTCATTCACACAGAACAAGCAGGATTCGTATTTAAATTGTCTTTGTGGTTTAATATCCACACACACTTGTCTACATCCCGATTTGATTTCAAGTGTATACTGAACTGCTTTCTATTTATTCCTCAAAAGATTGACAAATTCCATGAAATTCCGCGATATACAGTAAATTTCTTTTTTATGACTGGATTTCGTCAGCAATTTAGGGGGGGCGGGGGGTCGTTTTGGGGGGGCGGGCCACCCCCCCAAAACAATGGTAGGGGAAACACTGCATTCATCTGGCCTTGCATCTTCCTCGTCTTATTTCTTCCCGGCAGTGTAGACGCTACTTGGCGTATATCTTCTTCGCCGTTACGTGCGTGTGCTCGGCAAGACCGTTTTGGGTTTGAGCGCTCCCAAGTTGTGTTTTACTGTAACTTCAGAAGCTCCAGACACGTGAGCAAAAGCACCAATCTCATTGGTCGGATAGTTGACGCGGCAAACCAAAAAAACGAACCCGAGGCGTTTAAAAAAAAAAACGCTTTAACGCGTGCCGTTTTTTGCGTCGGTGTGCACACTCACATTGGCGCCCTTTGTTTAGTCACGAGGCGTTAAACGTCGGCAAATATCAGGCACGAAATTCGTCCCGGTGTGAACAGGCCTGAATGCTGTTGCAACGGCTGTTTTCTGGGGTTTTTCTGCTGATCTCCAGCAACCCACACTTTGAGAACCACTGCTTTATCCGCAAGAGCCATAATATGTTTAGTTTAATTGTGCAGGGCATTTTTGCCACCTTATCTCGAATTTGGTGGGCATTTTTGCCCCTGAGTGTCACTGCTGACTCACCTCATAACAGGCTGTCCAGTGTGGTGAGCGTTGTAGAAGAGCTGGTACCAGTAGGGCAGGAGAGCGTATCGCTGGCGTACCGCCTCCCGGATGAGGCCGGTGTTCTCTGGGCCGAACAGCCAGGGTTCTCTGCGGGGCGTGTCTATGTGAGCATGTGCACGGAAAAACGGCTGGTAAGCTCCTGCCTGATACCATCGCACCAAAAGCTCAGTGCTGGGATGTTTAAAGAAACCGCCAACGTCGGCTGAGGAACAGAAAGACAAAGGTACAGCATGTGAGACAAAAAGAAAAAAACTCCCCACTTACTTTATTTTAATCATTTGCAATGATTTTCTGCCGGTAACCTTAAAGTGCTGCTTCATAAATGTAATGTACACAAAAAATTTAACTATTCCAAACTTTTGCTAATGTCTTTAAAATAGTCTCCTCTGCTCACTAAAGCTGTAATTATGTGATCAAATACAGTAAAAATTTAAATAGTGAAATATTATCAAAACAGCTGTTTTTTGTATTTGAATATATTAAATCCTGTGATGCAAAGCTGAATTTTCTGCATCATTCTTCCAGTCTTCAGTGTCACATGATCCTTCAGAAATCATTTTAATATAATGATTTAATGCTTACAAAACATTTCTGATTATAATCAATGTTGAAAACAGTTGTGCTGCTTCATATTTTTATGTAAAAGGGGATACACTACCACTCAATAGTTTGGGCTTAAGAAATTTTTTTTTACTTTTAATCAACAAGGATGCATTAAAATGATTTATAAAACGGATAGGTCTATTTCAAATAAATGCGATTCAAAAACCGTTCTATTCATCAAAGAAACCTTAAAAAACAGGCAAAAATCATTTACACTTTTCTAATTTAAAACAAATGTATTTGCATTTGTACTGCAAAACAATTTGAGTGAAAATTTTATTTAAGAAATTTCATGTGGAGCAAAACTTTTTTTTACGTTAAGTATTCAACTCTTTCCCCGCTTTTTTATTTGCCAGCATTTTTGTTCATGTTCACAATTTTCATGGCCCCCAGAATATTTTGTTGTATGAATATTTCCACTTGTTTTTTGGATCCAGACACTCTGTACTCTATCTCAGAAGATGCGTAATAGCACCCCCAACCGTATAACAGTGAAAACATGGATAGCCGGAAAATGTTATCAATGGCAGAGAAAAATCAATATCGGGCCGTTACCTAAATATGTGTGCAGTTGTTTTGTTTACCCATTGCAAGCACTGTACATCACTTCTCATTTGCATCAGTGTAGACAGAAGGTCAGCACCTCTCATCACTAGAGTAACTGCTCACCTCCACAGAAAGAGATGCCCACTAAGCCCAGACTCAAGCACATCGGGATGGAGATCTTCAGATGACCCCATTCAGCTGCGTTATCTCCTGTCCACACCGCACCTGAGCCACAGAGGAAGAGGAAGTCATCACCAAACACGTCGTTACGAACACGTGAGGATCGTGTCCGAAGTGAAGGTGTCTCTCACCGTAACGCTGAGATCCTGCAAAAAATGCTCGGGTCAGAACGAACGGTCTCTCCACTCCTCCCGAGCGCTGAATCAGGCCGTCTGCAGTCGCCTTTTGCTGGTAATACAGATGTATTGTTAAGAGAGAAAGAAAGCACCACTTTTCAACACAACTCTCTTTTTTGGCTCTTCATTTTCCTTCACTATATCACACATGCCTTTCAGTATTATAGGTGCGTTCACGTCCTCCTAGAACTGTTAATTACAACTTGTAAACTGGGAATTTTCTGAGAGCTCCGACTTGTACCATCGGACCGCTGCAGATTCATATCGAGTAGAATGTCACGGGTTGTCTCCTTTTAACGTTTTATTCGTATAAAAAATAATTGGTGTCCTAAGAAAACATTTAAGTGTTGACTTCATCTAATGCCTGTTCTACACATCTTTGCAGATTTGTTGGCTTTTTCAAATCAAACAGTATTTCATATGATATACTCATCAATTAGTACCTTAATCTGTACTCTTTTTTTTTTTTTTTTTTTTTTGTAGGTGGGTGAATCTTTAATCACTTTTAGAGACTCTAATGAAAATCCCCAAGGAGCAAAAAGTAAATCAAAATTTATTTATTTTAATTCTGGGTTTAAATGGGGCCTGGACAGGTTTATGCGAAACTCACCCAGAAAATAATGTTATAAATGTTTTTTTGTTTTTTTTTGGAAACACCACCTTAATGCCCCGATTCACTTCAAAATAGAAGAACGAACCGTGACATCATTTCGAACAAAATCAGTCCAAAACGAAGTTTGTTTCAGGAGTTCAAGACAGCTTGCCAAAGCTAACTTTCTGCAAAAAAACCATTGGACTTAGTGGTGATGATGTAATAGGTGGGTGTGGCTCTGAGGCTCCGCCTTCTTTGATGTGTAAATCTTCATTGGTTAATTTCTTCTGTTCAGTCAGTCGAGGTCAGATGCAAGTTAAAACATGAACACACTGGAAAGTGGCTTTATAGTAGAAACTGAAGTCATTTTAATTGAAAGAGATGCGGACACAGACATGTTTAATACTATAAAGCTGCTTGACTTTAAGCAAATCGATTGTACAACATGCAATATAAAGATATTATGTGACATGACTGGAGAGCTGATGCAAACATCCACATCACTATGATCAGATGCTTTCGTAACTGTGGTTCTCACCACTGTTATTTTTACTGTGTGCTTTTGTTATTGAGAGGAAAGCGCGCGCAGAACATATTTACACATTCATCTAACTGTCGCTCTCAACAGTGTGGGTCGGGAGGCGTCGGGATGTTTGCTAACAGTGTACCGCCGCAAAAGTATTTAACTTTTTACCCCCAACCAAAGAATAAAATAGACCTTTACAGGGAGTATATCAGGGCCTTTATGTGCCTATGGAAGAAAAAATTAAAACACACTGGTCTCTCACCACATAGAGGCCATAAATGTTGTGAACATCTCTGTGCTCCCAGACACCATGAAGAGCATCTTTGTGCATGGTCACCTCAGGCCCATTAAACACAGACGGCTCATTCATGTCATTCCAGATGTACTGGTTCTCCATGGATCCCTGGACAAAGGCAATTGGGATTCAACAAATTTACAATACTAAAATGACCTAAGTTATCAATCTCAACATTTTAAAGTCCCCCTGTAGACAATTTTATACCTTTAAACTCATCTCTGATCACCAAAATTACATATAAACATTTATTTCCTTGAAAAAAAAATCCTTCATGCCTTAAAATAGCTTGAATGTAACTCTACACCCTTGCCTCATTTAGTATATGCGGTTCTATGAATATGCAAATGAGCCCCGCCTCCACTCACTCACACCAACTCAGAGATCCACTCGTTGATCTGATTGGTTACAAGGTCGTTTGTGACGTCAGAAACACCAGCGATTTCAAACCGTGTCTTTGGTTCACTGCAGTTTTAAGGAGAAAATACTCAGCAATGCTGTCGACTTATGAATTTGCACATGGTTTGTCTTAAAGCAAATTAAAAACACCACATAGACATATAAGCAACATTAAAAACTTGATTTTCAGGGGGACTTTAATAGTAAGAGAGAATTTAATAAACAGTCAGGGGTATCAGCTGTTCAGAAACCCCTTACCTCATACTGGTCATAGGCAAACATGCTGGCCCACCAGGCTCTCATCTCAGGGTTAGTGAAGTCAGGATAGCCAGAATTCCCTTCAGCAGAGAAAAAAAAAAGTGTGTTTCAGCACTCTGAAGAGCTTGATTTTAACAGACAGCTGGACAAGTAGCTACACACCTGGCCAGCACCAGCCTTCATAGTCTCCTCCATCTTTGTTCTTGACGTAAAAGCTTCTCGAGCGAATCTCATTGTGAATCTTGTAGCCACTGTCCACCCTAATGTGAGGATCTACGATGGCCACCAGCTGAGGAGACAAAATGTCACATGACTTTTGTTAAAGCCAGGGCAACAACGGCTATTTCAGTTTGAGCTGGGTAATAATATATGTATATATACTAAGAATGCTCGATGTATCGTTTTAGCATCGATATCACGATGTGTCCATTTGTAACTGAATACAGTTAGATTTACCTGAAAAACAAAACACTCATTTCTTTTGTACCTTTGTTCTATTTTATTCATCTATGCTTGTAATTTGTTTATTATTTTCAATGCAGATGTATTGCAAAATCACCCCAATCAAACTAGAATGATTCATTCTTTACAAATAGAGCTATTCAAATCATCTGGTGAAATGGTTTTCATATCGCAATATATATCGCAGGAAAACAAAATATCGCAATGTCAGTTATTTCCAATATCGTGCAGCCCTAATATATACACAATGATTTTGCTGCCGATATAATTCATAAGCAACATTAAATATCAGGATGATTTTCCTTAATATCTGGATGATTTTAGTACACTTTGGAAAACGTAAATGATCAAATAAAGTGCCTTTGCATTACTTGGATTTTTTTTCCATGTCTCGCAACTTTAAAAAATAAAATAAAAACAATTTGTAGGGCGAGTCTTGCTTTTATCTTTATATGTGGTTGTTGATTGGATTGTGAAAACATTGCAGAGGTTTAGGACAATAATATATAGAGATATATATCAAATATATATCATCAAAAGGCTGAAATATATATTATATATATATATATAAAATACACATTTTCATATTTCACAATACTACTGTTTTTACTGTATTTTTGATCTAATAAATACAGCCTTGGTAAGCAGAAGCGACTTCTTTCAAAAACATTTAAAAAAAAAGAAGACCTTGACCGGTTTTTATTTGAACTATATTACGCAGGGCATAATTTTGTGTCACACCTTGCGTTTTTTGTCCCTCAAGCCCTGCAGCATGTCTTTAGGTTGGGGGAACTTGCTAGGGTCCCAGGTGAAGTAGCGCTTTCCATCTGCATGCTCAATGTCCAGCCAAATAAAGTCATACGGGATGTCGTGCTCATCGAAGCCCTGATCAACAGCCTTTACATCCTCCTGATCATTATAGTTCCAGCGGCACTGATGGTACGCCAGCGTTGAGAGAGGAGGAAATGACTGAGTCCCTAAGGAAGAGAAATGTTACGTTTAGGAGGAATGAAAAGCTTTTAAAATGCCTTAAAAACAAAGAATAAAGGACATTATACGACTCATAATGAATTCAAAATCTGCATAATGATTTTTGCATTCCTGAATCCGTTAAAGTCCTGTGAAATTTAATCTAAATAAAAAAAGGCAACTTAATTTTTTCATCTAAAACCATATTATATCTGATTAATAACTGCTCATTAATAAGTAAATGAGAACTAATACATTTACCCCTTTTTTGGGGTTAATAAAAAAAAAAATTTTTACTTTAAATTGACAATGACAGCACAATCCAAGACAAATATATACACATTTATCAATATTCATGATAAATTCTGTGTGAATATGTAATTTTAGTGAACTGAATTTTCATTTTGGAGAATCCCTATTTTTTTGTCTCCTAAATGAGTAAGAAAAAGCATGAATGAGATTTGAGAGCTGAAGACTTTCTTCTTTCTAAAATTTCATAGTTTTGAAAAATATTACTGCGCATAAACAACAACAAAAATAGCATGAAATATGTTATTTTCATGTTTAGCGCTGACTGAGTATGAAGAGAAATGTGCGGTGGTACTTCCTTTCACCGTGTGTTTTAGTACCTGTAAGTGAGGCGTACTGAGTGAAGACATCGGTAGGTTTTGGTCCCAACATGATAAAGACATCGATAATACCACTCTCAGATATCCAGCGTACATCCGTCTGAGGAGCTTCACTAGAAACTTGTACGAAGTCAAGCATTTTTCCAAACAGTGTCTGAAAAATGGACACACGTTTAAAAAGGGTTAGTTCACCTAAAAATGCAAAATATGTCATTAATGACTCGCCCTCATGTCGTCCCAAGCCCGTAAGACCTCCGTTCATCTTCAGAACACAGTTTAAGATATTTTAGATTTAGTCCGAGAGCTTTCTGTCCCTCCATTGAAAATGTATGTACGGTATACTGTCCTTGTCCAGAAAGGAAATAAAGACATCAAAGTAGTCCATGTGACATCAGTGGGTTTGAAGCATCGAAAATACATTTTGGTTCAAAAATAACAAAAACTGCGACTTTATTCAGCATTGTATTGTCTTCCGGTTCTGTTGTGGATCCGCGTTCAGTGCCGCCGCTGACGTAAGACGCTGCTGACGTGTGTCTGGTGTGTGTGTGTGTGTGTGTGTGTGTGTGTGTGTGTGTGTTCTGGTTCTGTTGTGGATCCGCGTTCAGTGCCGCCGCTGACGTAAGACGCTGCTGACGTGTGTCTGGTGTGTGTGTGTGTATTCTGGTTCTGTTGTGGATCCGCGTTCAGTGCCGCCGCTGACGTAAGACGCTGCTGACGTGTGTCTGGTGTGTGTGTGTGTGTGTGTGTGTGTGTATTCCGGTTCTGTTGTGGATCCGCGTTCAGTGCCGCCGCTGACGTAAGACGCTGCTGACGTGTGTCTGGTGTGTGTGTGTGTGTGTGTGTGTATTCTGGTTCTGTTGTGGATCCGCGTTCAGTGCCGCCGCTGACGTAAGACGCTGCTGACGTGTGTCTGGTGTGTGTGTGTGTGTGTGACGTAAGACGCTGCTGACGTGTGTCTGGTGCGTCCGTGTATTCGGGTTCAAATAAATATGGGTGGGCAAAAAAATGCAAGTCTTCCTCTGTGTGGAAATCCTTAGACATGTTTGCGAAGATTGTTTTGTTTCCAGCGTGCGTCTCCCTCAGACTGTAAACGAAGCTCGGGCGCACCAGACACACGTCAGCAGCGTCTTACGTCAGCGGCGGCACTGAACGCGGATCCACAACAGAACCAGAAGACAATACAATGCTGAATAAAGTCCTAGTTTTTGTTATTTTTGGACCAAAATGTATTTTCGATGCTTCAACACATTCTAACTAACCCACTGATGTCACATGGACTACTTTGATGATGTCTTTATTTCCTTTCTGGACAAGGACAGTATACCGTACATACATTTTCAATGGAGGGACAGAAAGCTCTCGGACTAAATCTAAAATATCTTAAACTGTGTCCCGAAGATGAACGGAGGTCTTACCGGCTTGGAACGACATTACGGGGAGTCATAATGTTCATGTTCAATGACATAATATTCATATTTGGGTGAATTATCCCTTTAAGGGGATTGTGCTAAAACAACTTCAAAATGCACTGACACAGAAAATCTGCTTTTAATACCAAACTAATGTTAAAATCAGAAAATACTGCAATGCTCTCCGATATATTATGCTTCCCTAATTTGAACATTAACGTTCTTTATTTGAACCATGTCAACCAAAAGCATTAGCAAATAGCAGTTTCTCACACTCACCTTTCCTGCAGTGTTTGAGCTGATGTCCACCCATGTCTCTGCTGCATTGAGCCAGAAGATGCCCATGGTGCGCTCAGTACTATGAGATATGAGGACGGGAACTGCCCCGTAAAGGGCCATTGGGTTGTGTAGCTCATACTGAAAAACATCCAAGTTGTACAGCCGATACGGGTCTGACCCACTAAGAAAAGGAAAAAAACACCACAACCAATGAAACATTGTCACTGGTTTAGTGCTGAAAATGAATGATACATGTTTCAAATGGTTCTTTATTTAACAAATGTTCAATATTCAGGCTAGTTTGTCTTGTTCCTAAATTAAGTATAAGAATGGTTGGTCAGAATGTGTTATGCTGTGGCCCATTTCTTGAAGGATGTTAGCTTGAGTTTAGTTTGAGCAAAGTCGGGTTCAAGAAAATAGATTGGTTTACACATACAACACTAACCGACTCCAGAGCAGGTTTTATTCTGGGTAAGCCAAAACTGGACCAATTAGCTGACATTAGACATTTATCAAGTTACTTACCCTGTATCTCTTGCTCCAAAATAAATTAGTTCTCAATAAAAGCAAGCATAGATTATCCAGATTTTACTGCTTATTATTTATTATATAGTTGTATGTGAATTATATACATTATATTGGTAATGCTTTACACATAAGCAATTATAGTTTGCCAATATTCCACTTTTAAATGAACTTTTAAAGTCCCCCTGTGGTGAAAATCAAGGTTTTAATGTTGTTTATTTGTCTATGTGTTTTTAATATGCTTAGACAAACAGGCAAACCACAAAGCAAAAGATGTTTAAATATGTAATTTTGGTAATCAAAGGCGAGTTTTAAGGGATAAAATGATTGACTACATGGAGACTTTAAATCTTTTAAAATTGAGAATCTATATAAATGAATAAATTCAGTTGATTCACTTGCATTAATATAGTCAGATATTTTATATATATATTCATGGCATCAGCAGCGTTTCGTCCTGCCTTGGAAATTTAGTTAAAATTCATGCACTGCATCCAAAATCGAATAATTCCCTAGTATATAGTATTCGAAAAACAGTAGAAGAAAAGTCCTCGGATGACCTACTACTTCCGGTGAGATTTTACTACTTTACTATCCCATGAAGTCACGGGAGAGGATTTATGAATATACACAACTGCCGCTGGTAGGTCACGTGACAGTAACATGGCGGATGTAGTAATTTCGAATTTCATTCATACTACCCATATTCATACTATATAGCGCATACTGTTTTAACAGCCGCAAAGTTAATTTAAATCAAAATGTATTCATACAGACCGGACGCAGCGATGATATTTTCATGACGATACCATTATTTTCAGCAGAGAAGGGAATTGTTCCGACTCTCTGATGAGAAGTGAATTAAACGTCCAGGCTGGATTTATCTGGTTTTAAACCAACTTTGTTCAACTAGACTAGTATTGTTCAGATCAGGTTTCTTTACAAGCTTAACCAGCATAACTTCTTTTATCAGTCAGCCTCACCAGCTTGCTAGATTTGGCTGGTGAACAGCATGGCTATGCGCAAAACAAGTAATAATCACCCCGGACATGCAACAAAATTCATCCTATGTATGAATTCACATTAAAAACCCTCCTTTGCTGGTTAAGCTGCTTGTGTGTCCTGCATATCAGAACTCACTCTGTGTTTTTCAGTTTGAGCGTGTCGGCGTGTTCGGGAATGCCATAGACGTGTTCCACACCAGGCAGAGAGAAATCTAAACTAATAGATGATGGACCTGAATTCAAATGGAGATTAAAAAAAACACAAATAAAAAAGGTTAACAAACTTGACTGAGTTTATCTTATCGATATTCTACTGATCATGTTATAGAATAAAATGGGAAAGATTTAACCAGATTTCAATGTACCATTGGGCTTTGAATCACTATGAGATTTAAATGTTTCCTCCCACATGCCCGGTTTATCCTCTTCTTCTTTGATCGGTCCATCCTAAATGAATAAAAGAAAATAAACAAGAGTTAAAACTAAAACTGCTAGGTTTATATTATATTTTAACACTAATATAAGGAGTCTCTTTAAGGATTTGTTCACTCCAGAATTAAAATTTCCAGATAATTTACTCACCCTCACGTCATCCAAGATGTTCATGTCTTCCTTTCTTCAGTCGAAAAGAAAATAAGGTTTTTGAGGAAAACATTCCAGGATGTTTCTCCATATAGTGACTTCAATGGGGTCCAACAGGTTGAAGGTCCAAATGTCAGTTTCAGTGCAGCTTCAAAGTCTCGACACGATCCCAGCCGAGGAATAAGGGGATTATCTAGACAGTCGCTCATTTTATAAAAAAAATAATATATACTTTTTAAAATCACAAATAATTGGCTTGCACTAGCTCTGCGATGCGCCACACATTACGTAATCACGTTGAAAGGTCAAGCGTGACGTAGGCGGAAGAACCGACCATGTGTTTACAAAGCGAACGTGCAAAGACTAGTGAAACATTATTTACGAAAAAACAACAACAGGTAAAACGATGTCGGACGATTTTGAAGTTGGAGGAGAAAATAAGATGGAGCTTTACCCTACCCTACCTTTTTTTAACCAGAACACGCGTGATCTTTTCAACGTGAGGCGCATCACAGCTAGTGCAAGGTGAGCATTTGCGATAAACGAAGCATAGTATATAAATGCTTATTTCTTTCTAGAAAATGAGCGATGGTTTGTCTAGATAATCCCCTTATTCCTCGGCTGGGATCGTGTCGTGACTGAAGCTGCAATTTGGACCTTCAACCCGTTGGACCCCATTGAAGTCACTAAACATCCTGGATTGTTTTCCTCAAAATCCTTATTTTCTTTTCGACTGAAGAAAGAAAGACGTGAACATCTTGGATGACAATGAGGGTGAGTAAATTATCAGGAAATTTTAATTCTGAAGTGAACTAATCAGGTCTCACTCTCAACACTCAAAAATTAACACTTTAAATTATCTATGTCCAATAAATCTGCATGTTAAACAGTTCAGTTATTGAAAACACACACCTCGTCAGATTGCTTCTCCACACTCTCCTGTCCTGTCATTTCCTCCGACTCACTTTTACTGGAAAGTAGACAAAGATTCTCTTAATAGAAATACTTAGTACAACTATACAAACGTAAATCTTATAAAGGAGGGTGAACTTTAATAAGTTCTTGAATAAGAGACGCATCAATACGACTAATTGATAATCAGACCAGTGCAGTACCTGTGCATTTTGATTTTTTTAAGCACAAATATATGGTGATTCTACAACAAAACAAGCATTTGTTGATTTTTCTTTGACTGGCCATTGCTTTTAAAGGGAGTTCTCTCAAAAATGGAAATGTCATTAATTACTCACCTTTATATATAAACATTCAACAGCTCACACAAGCGAGAACCAAAGAGCTTCATTCAATTGTTATGCAGCACGTTTGAGCTTCAGCGAGAGGTTTGTTATCGCGCCTCAAGCAGGTTCGGTTGAGCTTCTGTTCATGTTCACTGGTCAATGTTTGTGTGTGAATAAAAGCCTAAATTTAATCTGTTCATCATATAAAGTGATCGTCTCTCTTCAGAAAATTTGACTAAACTGCTCAATTCATATGGATTAGTTTTACAATCTCTTTATGAACTTCCTGAAGCATCAAAGTGGAAGTTGCGTAGCAGTCAATGGAAGGACAGAAATCTCCCAGAAGTTTGGAACGACATGAGGGCGAGTAATTTATGACAGAATATTCATTTTTGGTTGAACCAACCCTTAAAATGCATGTTAAACAGAGCATGTGTCAAATAATAATCTGGTTCAATCGGAAAAATGTAATTGTGTAGGTGACGACACTATGTAACAATGGTTGTAATAAACTATCTGAGCAATGGTGGGAGGAGTTAGTAGCCCCTTTCAGACAGAAAATACACGGATAATGTGTCCCGGGGTCGTTTGATTCTGGCTCATTCACACCGCCGGTGATTTTCCGGGATCTGTGAGTGCGTTCACACACATCCCGTAAGACACGTGACGTCAGGATGTGATAACTCCTGTCAGATGTCAGTTCTGCTGATAACTCTTCGCCATTTCTACACGAAGACGAGTCCATACTCCCCAGTAGCGCCACTGGCTCGTTCCCCATATGCTGTAGCATAGGTTGTAGAAAGGCCCGTGCGTCATCACTACGACACACCCCATACGACATTGGTCCTTGCTTTTGTTCACACAGGGCGCGTTCCAGTGTTGTGCCTAATTTTGACCACCTGCCAAATTATTACCCCCCTCGTTGAAGTCAGTACCTGATTGCCTAATCCCAACCCCTCCCCCACAACTAATCCGAAACCTACCAATGCTAGGGGGGGTAATAATTTGGCAGGGGTCGAAATTCGGCACAACACCGGGACTGATCCCGGAAATGTTCCTAGGTCCACATCAATCCCAGGACGTGTTTGCGCTCACACAGAAGGCACTCTAGCAATTTTATGTCAATTTCCCAGGATCAACGCGCTGTGTGAAAGGGGCTATACAGTCTTTACTGGTAAATTACCGGTACCTTTACCGTTAAGAGATCATGTGTGAACGGGACCAAATTGGTTTTGGCAAATTACCAGCACGAGAAGTTAATTTCCGATTTAGCTGTATTTTGGTGCTGATGTGTGAATAGAATCTTAATTGTAAAAAGCCAGAAACACCGTTGCTTGTGTGACCAGCGTATTTGTGTATTTAACGGTAAAGCCATTCTGGTAATTTACTGGGATTACTGTGTGAAAGAGGCTAGTGGGTTGGCTAATTTGCACAATGTAAACAGACACTGCCTAATTAAAAAGATTATATTTTGGCATTATATAGTGCATCTTTAAATCTTAATAAAGAAATTGATAACTAATTTCTTCACAAAACATTTCTTTCATCCATTATAACAAAGGAGGACATGTTTTTGTTGAGATGCATGTAGTGGTGCTTAAGTGAGAAACATAAATAACATGTTATATATAAGGTTTGAGATTAACATTTGTCAGAAGCAAATAAAAATTTACTTTGGCAAATAAATAAAACATTTAAAATGCAAAAGACATTCAACTTTTTTTGTTTAACCAAATACATTTCCATGGTCAGTCAATGTTTAAGGTACATTTTCATGATCCACAAACAACTGACAGGTGTGACAAAAAGTACATTTTGAACCCAGCAGTTTATGCTTGTAGATGAAAAGTATACAAAATGAATGCCCATAAAACCAAAATCAATGGAACCATTGATGACTGGTACACTAAAGATAACACTATTTTAGGTAGCACAATTACGATTTCAATATAGAACATCTTTTTTAATACTAAATCAAAAGCAAATACCGTACTATTTGATTAAATTGTACAGGCATGATTAATTTAGAGAACTACAGAAATTTACACTACTGTTGATTTAAAAAAAAAAAAGGGATGCATGATATATCGGCCACCATATCGGTATCGGCCAATATATGATAATTTAAAATGTTATTGTTATCGGCCCGATAAGAAAATCAGGCTGATATATTAAAGCCGATAAATATTGGATTATTTCCTTCAGCCGAAACACTTCAGATGCGCACTGTTCACCATGATGGTTTTGAATTGCTTGAAATATGATTGAAATCGCTTCAAAAAGGAAAATACAGTTATAGGCTATATAAAAATATAATTAGAACATTATAATTGTGTGCTTGGGACATTGCTTTTAATGGTGAGCGTTTTTGTAATCAGGCTCTCAAAATATATCGGTAATCGGCGTTCAAATATAAAGAATTATCGGTTATCATTATCGGCCAAAATTTTCATATCGGTACATTCCTAAAAAAATAAAAATAAAAAACATTGATAGATGGTAATCAAACAATACGTTTAATGAAGTAAAAGAAACTATGAAGTAAATCTAAGATTTTTTACAGTCAAGAACTGGACAAATGGATGTTACCTAGAGAAAATGCTCTTGAGCGAGTCCCACATGCTACCAACTGTGCTACTTATTTTATGAGAGATACTGCTGAGCGTGACAGAAGAGAGGAAAGTTGAGAAAAAGAGGGGAAGGAAAATAGAATGTGATGAGAATTTCAGTAAAAACATTTACAAACGTATTTCTGAAAGAAATATCTGACACATTTAAATGAGCAGTTTTTATCTAAAAGACACCAATCCCAGAACATCATTTTTAAAATGAATGTGTAATTTTAAACTGATGTCAATTTCGCTGTGAAAAAAATTAAATAAGATCACGATCATAACACACCACAGTACAATACCAAGCCAAATAGTGACCGTATGGACTGCAACAGTATGGTTAAAAAAATTCCATAATGACTTTTAATAATGTATAAATCTTTCAAGACAAACCTACCATGGATCCAAGGTTGTTGGAATATATTTATGCAGCCATTTCAAAATGTTCCCGACTTCCCGTGCATATATACTGTATTCTTTATAATTATAAATCAATGACGGCTTCTATTTAGCAATTTCACACCTTATTGTCATTGTCGTTTAATTCACATCAATGGTTGTTGATCACAGAATTTGATTTGGCTCAATACTTTATTGAACTCTGTACTGAAGATTTTTTTGCAAATTCCCATGAAGAAAATGAATGGTCACTGAAAAAGTGGACAATCATTGTGGTGCTCTATTGGGCTTAGATAACAGCAGTCCTGCTTCAACAAGAGTTAGTGCGGCGAGAGAAAGACAGAAATGAAACGAGAAGCAACAGCAAGAATCAAAGTAGAGCGTGTGGAGAAGTTGTGAGAGATCTTAACCCTCGGATCTTAAAAACAGTGAAACAGTGAACACAGAAGAAGCTAGAGAAATATTATTTTCATTGCATGCCAGCAGCAGGAAACCCCTTACAAGGATAGTTCACCCAAAAAACATTTACTCAACCTCATGTCGTTCCAGGCCCGAAGGATTTCTTTCTTACGCAGAAAACAAGATTTCAACAGTTTTTGCCCATACAATAAAAGTGTCTGACTTACTTTGTATGGACAAAAACTGTTGAAACATTGTGTTCTGCGGAAGAAGGACAAAAAACAAAGATAATTTTCAAAATAAAGAAAACGTTTAAAAAAAAATATTTCTTAAGAAATAAGCCATAGGAGGCTGTATGGATATGAGGGTGAGTAAATGACAGAATTTTCCCTATTCATTAAGAAAATCCTTGTAACTAAAGGCTGGAATACACTACATGACTTTTAAAATATGAACATCATACACTTAGAAAAACTGGGCATCACACTAAATCACTCAGGATCACACACTACCAGAGTCATTCTGAACACAAAACCTCACACAGAAACACACTAGGAGATGCAGGACAAATAAAAACAGTGTTCTAAAATCAGATCAAAATAACAAACATGTTTAAAGTGCCCCTATTATGCTATTTTAAAGGCTCCTAATTTTGTTTCGGAAGGCTCCTACAATAGGTTTATATGCGTCGAAAGTAAAAAAAAAAAACTTTAATTTTCTCATAATATACATTAGAGCATCACTACTTTTCTCACAGTGTCTGAAATGGTTCGATTAAGGATTTGGTCTCTAAACCCCGCCTTTCCGAGAGCCTGTTCTGCTTTGATTGGTCAGACTGCCAAGTCTCTTGTGATTGGTCGATTGCTTACAGCGCTCGTTAGAAACTGAATGTCCATTTCCATATCTTAAAAATATTCAGCAGATCTTCCTTAGCACTTGTATATCATATCAATCCCAGTGCGAGTCTCAGTGCTGCTAGCACAGAAAACAGAGTCTTCTTGACATCGCGAACAGAACTCTTCCAGTCTCTGCAACAACTACAGTGTTTGAGGGTCAAAGACGACATTTGCAGGCAACCAATAAAGAGCATAGACTGGCATTATGCAAATTTGTTACAAACCTACGTTCATGCAGGAAGTAAGACTGTCTAGAATTACTAACGACTCGTTTCAGGCGGTTCAGAATCAAGTCTTTCTTTTAGGAGACAATAACTCCATTTATCTGAACTTTGCAGACCTTTTAAATTCACAAACAGCGATATTACAGACTACATGAAAGATAATATCAGAAAAAGCATAATAGGGGCACTTTAATATCCTCTGACTGAATGGAATCAGTTTGAAGCTAAAAAAAACACACACAAAAAACGCTTCCACGCCCATCATACACTGTGATTCGTCCAGACTGCAAATTGAGGCAAATCTTCGCATTTGTATTCCAGCCTTAAGTGGTAATTAAGAAAATTGTTGCAACCAGCCCCTGGTGCACCCCAGGAAAATAATGTTTTTATTTTACAATAAGTATTAATGGATGATAAATTAAGCTCATTATTCTCCCCATATTCTCAAAAATAAATTAAAAAACATCATTACTCTCTGTAATGACTCGGTTTTAAAAATCCTAATTGTCATGAAAATTGTCACAAAGAAAATTAAGATTTTTTTTTTACATTGCGTAAATACAATCTTAGTTTTTCCCTGATTTTGGGGTGAAATATGACCAATACATTTAATGACAAGTTTTTATGAGATTACCCTTATACTAATTTGTCATATTTATATTTAATTCATGTAAAAACTGTTAATGCTGTGCCGTATTGCTCTGTTAAATGCCCGTTGACACCAAGGAAGACAACTAGAACTATAATTATGACTGTCCGATGGCCCGGGGCCAGTGTTAAATCCACTCGGGAAAGTTTTGAATTTGATTGAAGTTTTGATTCAGGTGATTTAGGTGAAACAATATTGTGCGTTGGTGTGGATGCTAATATAGTTTTCATTACAGTTATATTTCTTGGTGTGAACGGGCCTTGAAGTGAAAACCGTGCACCTTATGAGTGTAAGGACTTATCAATACAAAGGGAAGAAAGAAAGCGAAAAATTATATAATTAATCAGAAATACAGCCCAAGAAAGCAGTGTGAAATATTTTTAGTATGAAGTATTATTGGTTCAGCATTGTCTATTTTAATAAATATCTGTAATAAACTTCTTGAATGAGATGGCCTTTCTGTCTGATTGGTGTTGCTGTACTCACGTGTCCTTGCGTGCTCGTAGGTGCTCGAAGGCCAGCAGGCCCCGGGAGTTGAGTGACATGAGCACTTGAGGACCCTCAACGATGTCCAGGCGAAACGGCTGAGCACTTACGATGAGCCGCCGCTCTTTCCCACCCAGACACAACACCAGACTATTCTCATCCTGAGACACCACTGACAGCCTGAAGACAGACACCAGACACTCAGCTGTTAATCCTGACTAGAACAACACAGCTCAATGAGGAGAATTCATTTAATGGCGACAAGGGGGAAAACTGACAAATTATTATACGCAAAAATGGATCCTTCTCTAGTCAGATAATAAAACACCAGGAAACACAAGAAGCTTTTAGTGGTGTTAAGGCCCTTGCACACGGAGTCTGAAATTCATTTATTAAAAAATAAAATACGTTATGTCAAAATAACCTCACTTTATGTCAATCACTCTTGCACACTGCCTCGGAAACTTTTGTCCATCAAAAAAAAAAAAAAAAAAAAACGGGTTTGACTTTCAGCGTTTTTTTTTTTAAATAATAAATAAAAAGGGAAAAGAAAAAACTATATACATGTGGATAAAAATATTAATTTCTGTGTTTTTGTCTACAAAAAGATCGACATGTATGTGAGGCAATACTACTAATCTTCTTCTGTTCTCGGACCAAATGTTATGTTTGGAAAAGTGCATAATTAATAAGCATAATTCACATTTTATTTCTGTTTTTGAGTCATTATGCAAGCGTGTCTTTCGCAGATAAATGTCTCCAATGTAAACTGTCAAATGTGCAAGATCTTTATAATAAAAAAAATAAAAAATAGTATAATAATAAATTCATATTTTTATTCAACAAGGATGCTTTCAATTGTTTCAAGTGACAGTTAAGACATTTATAAAAGATTTCCATTTTCAATGCCGTTCTTTTGAACTTTCTATTCATCGAATATATCACAGGTTCCACAAAAATCTGAAGCAGCACAACGGTTTTCAACATTGATAATAATCATAAATGTTTCATGAGCAGCAAATCAGCATATTAGAATGATTTCTGAAGGATCACGTGACACTGAAGACTGGAGTAATTATGTATCTCTTGTATTTTTGTAATTCAGCATAAGTATAATAAAAATAAATACCAAGTAAACAGAAAAAATACAGCATTTAATATTATACAAGAATTTTCACATTAAAATATGATTTAAAAAAATTCTAAAAATCAAGCATACCATTTTCTTTTGCAAGAAGTCACAAGATTCAGCCTGTAAATCTTTGACGTAAACTTGCCTTAAATAAACACCCCCCCCTTTCAAAATGATCTCTTTCAACAGCTCCCAAGGTCCCCCGAGCGCCTCCATTGAGAAACACTAATGTATATACAGTAAAAGCCGTTCTGATGGTGTGAGTAGATTTGACTTACGGTTCAGTAAGAGGATCAGAGATGAGCACATCTGGAACCTCGTAACGGGGCTTAAGTGGTTTGAGTTCATTAATCTTCACCCGAGTCATGTTGCCCTGCAGTCTGTACAGCTCAAGCAACAAGCGAACCTACAGACAAACAACGGTCTCAATTCTCTCACACTTAGTATGGAGCACTAGCCTGGTTAAAACCAGACCATTCTCAGTTGTAACTGAGTTATGGTGTGGCAAAGCGTCATAGACAAATCATTTCCAGAGGGGCGTCACCAACGGACGTCGCGGATAGACCTAAACCCAATCAGAGCGATGAAGGAGATGACGTATGCAGAGCGGCGGAGAAACATCTCCGAGTGTTGTTCTTTGCTCGGTTTTTAACAAAAAGGAAACGTTCAAATGGCTTAAAACAGACGCGATAGCTGATTGGAACGAGTGATGTTCGACGGCGGCATCCATCTTTGTAATGTAGGCTACAAAATCTGCTTCAAAATCCCAGCGCTGTCATCATCGTGTAAAGCCCGCCCCAACGTTTCTGATTGGTGCCTCGATTTCGGCGGATTGGAAATGGGCTTGAATGAGCTCTTTGCCAGACTAACTTTCAGAGCAAATCTAAATTTGCCGGAAGTTGTCTGGGTTTTCCCAGGCTAATGGAGCACAACACAGGGCTGGGCGATATGGCCAAAAACCCAAAATATTAATCACAATACTTTTTTCCATTTCATACGATATCGATATCTATCATGATATTAATTTATCATTAATGGGGAAGGAAATGCTTTCCACATATTTTTAAGACCATGAGAATGAATGTAAACATGTAAACTTGTTAGTTCACAATTAAACTCCACAGAGTAGCTACCTTTTAATTTAGGGGAATCCTTAAAAAGATGAAGTGAAGTGCCTAAAATTTCCCACCCCAAGTTATACATCTTACAAATGGCATTTTCTTCCATATCGTAACGATATCTGTGAAATGGCTTCTCAAACGGGAAAAACATGTAGGGCAGGATTTTGTCCGTCATAAAATTATTGGAGCATTGTCATTTTTTATTTCTGCAATCTCATGTGAGTGACAGGCTGTTGGAGGGATTATTGTCCCGCCCTCGCAAGTCACTGCAACGGGCAGGAGACTTCGATGTAGTTTATTAAAGATTACAAACCATTTAAAAAAATAAATGATTTGTACATGAATAAAGAATTCAAACTGCAATATTTTATCAAAAAATAAAAATGGTCAATTGAGACTTTAACCCAAACAACCAACTTTGAGATGAAGTTATCGGTTAACAACTCTGCTTTGGTATATTGTGTGACCTTGTTGTTGTCATTGATGAGCTGCAGGGTGATTCTGGAGTCGCTCAGCTCCAGTGTGTCCAGCAGAGCTCTGTACGGAGACTGACCAGGCTTCAGCTCCCTCTGACGCCTACAAACACACACACAGAAAAAACATGTCTGATCCACATTGTGTCCACATTCAAAATGAGGCAATGGCAAAACATTGTATCTGATGAAAAGGCTTTGGCAGTAATATTTTCATGTTAGAATCAAATAAGCCCCTTTCACACAGAGATTCCGGAAAATACACGGATAAAGTGACCCGGGATTTGACCCGGGTTCGTTTGATTTTGGTTCATTCACACTGCCAGTGATTTTCCGGAATCAGAGAGTGCGTTCACACACAACCCGTAAAAATCCTGTAAAGACACCTGACATCGATGTGACATGTAATGTCTCAGCAGCGTCTTAAGTTTGCTTATGAGCTGCGATTTCTCCGCGCTTGTGGCGCTTTTCGAAACCACGCTTGTGCATTTTGTTCTCTGATTCGATCATAAACACTGGCGAACGATCCCGGCTTCAGCGTCATCATTACGAAACGGAATTGTTTACGGCTTTTGTTCACACACAGCGCGCGTTCCGGGACTGAACACGGCAATGTTACTAGGCCCCCAACCCGGCATCGACCCCGGCATCAATCCCGGGTCGTGTTTGCGTTCACACAGAAGGCATTCTGGCAATTTCCGGTATCAACGCGCTGTGTGAAAGGGGCTATAGACATGCCATTTCTTCCTCAGGGTCTGACTCCGCATCGACTGCTTTATATTATGCTCTTTCATGCGAGTCCCGCACCAAGCAACTACCATTGAAAATTGAAATATATGATTTTTTTTTAAAGCTTTTTAATAATTATACCCCCACCTATGTCCTGATCTCCATAAAAGTTTGCGTGCTTCTTTAGAATCATGTCGCATGTGCTCACCTAATTTCGTTAAGTTCTACGTAAATCAAATTTCTATGCAAAAAAAAGGAAGCCATTTTCAGCTATCTATCATAGCTAACTTCATTAGCCGACGGCTGCCGGGTTTTTCGAGATAGGCGAATGTCCTAAGAGCCAATCATGGCACCTCTGGCAAAGACACTATGCCATTTTTTAAGTCGATCGGGCCGACTGTAGCATAGCTATAGCCGTAGCCATTTTTTTTTTTTTTTTATAGCGCCACCAAGAGGCCAGTCACAGCGTCCTTTTCCATGTGACCACAGATAGAGGCCAACATAGGTGTACCAAGCTGTGTGAAATTATCTCATTACGTTCAAGAGTTATAGCAGTTTAAGTAAAAGTAGCCTCGCCCACTTTGGTGTCGCAAACAAGAATGGAAATTGAGACCTTTACCTATAACTATTAACATTCAGACTCTAGAGAATCTTTCTGCACTGGTTTGGTTCGTCATGCGACAAAAGGTTTAGGAGTTATGAGCGATTTCATACTTTTGATCGCTGTAGCGCCACCTTCAGGCCGATTCGGGTGAGCCTTGGTGATGTTGTAGACGGTGAGGGTACTACCATCCCTCAAAGTTTCAAGTCTCTACGACTCACAAAAAGGTAATTGCAACTTTATATCTCACAATTCTGACTTTCTCACAACTGCGAGTTTACATCTCGGATATAAAGTCGAAATTGCAAGTTATAAAGTCAGAATTGTGAGATATAAACTAGCATTTTTTTCCCTTAGAATTGGACTTTATAACTCGCAATTGCGAGTTCATATCTCACAATTCTGAGAAAACATTTTAAAAGATAATGGTGACTTTTTGTCTCACAATTGCGAGTTTACATCTTCCAATTATGACTTTATTTCTCAGAATTGCGTGATATAAAGTCAGAATTGCGAGATATAAACTCACAATTGCGAGAAAAAGTCAGAATTGCGAGTTTATTTCTGACTTTATATCACGCAATTCTGATCAATAAAGTCAGAATTGCGAGATGTAAACTCGCAATTGTGAGACAAAAAGTCGCAATTATCTTTCAAAAAGTTTTATTCTGTGGCGGTAACAAGCTTCCATACTTTTGAACCCCTATTGAATAAAGGATAGCTTACACCAGATATTATAGAACTCATTTGTATCAAAATTCATAATAGTGTGGAAGCAATGTTGTCAAGTTTCATTAATCAGTCTTCCTACAGGGGGCGCATGCTGGCTCAGTGAGTGAAATCTTCTATTGTGTGACGTTGCAATATTATGAAGCTGCAGACTCGGAGCCTGCATCTACAGTCCCCCACCGAGAGTCCCGCATTCTCAGACCCCTCGTTTTTCGATCACAGCGCCTCCTGCTGTTCGAAAGACCGTATAACACCCGCACACAGAGTACAGCGCACGCTTATCCAAATGCAATTAAAAACAATAGGATGCAATATTACGGTCTCCAAATAAATGATCCAATAAATATTTGCGTTCCCTGCAATATTACGGTCTCCAAATAAATGATCCAATAAATACTTGTGTTCCCTGCAATATTACGGTCTCCAAATAAATGATCCAATAAATACTTGCGTTCCCTGCTTAATGCATGTGCCAAAAAAAAACTCATTGCGATGGAAGGGATACAATTACAGATTGAACTATCTTCTGAAAAATAGTATGTGATATTATATTGCTACAATGTTTTTTTATATATTTTTATTGAAATTCCAATTTTTCTTTCAGTTCAACCTATAATAGTCTAATTAACATTACCATGCTAACATTACAAAATCTGTTTTTTTTTTTTTTATGCAAAGCAAAACAAATCAGAATAGACAAAACACCAATAATAAACAATTCTGTACTTTATTTAATGATCACCTAAACATCATCTTGCTGTAAAGAAAAAAGGAAGAAAAAACTGTGTTCGTGACTTTACTTTTCGTGTTCAATTGCATTAAAAAACTAATTTATAAGTCGCTTTGCATAATCATAAAATGATATGTTGCTGGGTTCGGCAGGGGCGACTCCATCGATGTATGGTGTACCCTGGAATAGCCTACAACAGTATAGGGACGTCCCGCGTGACGTCACGCCATTTGGAGCAGCCATCTTGACGGTATAGAAAATGCTAAACCGCCAGTGATAATACAGCTCGTCGCGAAATATTCCTATCATGCCCGAGCGATGCTGTGCATTTGGATGCGATCAGATACGTGATCATACAAAAGGAATATCTTTATACCGTATCCCAAAAGAAACAAAACGGAGAAAAGTGGTTGGCGGCAATTAACAGGCAAAACGCATACATACATTCCTAGATCAGTTAATTCGTTAGGCCTATTATCACATTACATTCTTTCGTTTTCAAATACCAAAAGCTGATCTTGTATTTTATTTGACACTTCTTATAAATCGTTAGAAACACAGGTTGAGACAGTCTCAATGACAGTTTATCATACTACAGTGACAGTCAGTGATTGTATAAAAAAGTAGCCTATATATAGGCTATTTCGTTTTTCTTGGATCAAACTAGATTAAACAAATTCATTAAAGATACACTTAATTAGGGTGACCAACAGTCCTGTTTTCCCAGGACATGTCCTGTTTTTACGTCCTGTCCTGGCTGTTTTTTATAAAGTGATGAAAATGTCCTGGTTTTTAAAAAATTGCTTGGAAAGATCAGCTCTACAGCAAAATATAGATGGGCAAACAAGGACGAGGAAGAAAAACAGGATAAAGAGGAAGAAAACTAAAGATATAAATACATTTTGTTAGTTCGTTTTTGTAAGTTTGTGAGAGCTATTTTTGTTCAATTTGGAGGTATTTCTTTTAGTTATTTATATATTTATTTTTCTAATACAGAAGAGACATTATTTCTATCATTATTTCATTGATTATTTTTTAAACCTGTCATAATAAAACATGTTGAGTAACCTCTGAGAAGCCTATCTTAATTTGTGTCTTGTAATATAACAATTTTCTATCCATACAGAGGAGGCTACTTTAAATGTATTAATTAATAAGGCATCTTTGAGTAAATTTCGAGTGTCATTTGAGTAGCCTATCTGTTTGCCGGGCCGAGTGTCCTGTTTTTTGGTAATCAAAATATGCACTTAATCTTGTTGGTGATTTTGTTTTGTGTTTTCCCCTGTAAACGCAGTTTAAAAATTGTAGGTACTATAATTTGATGAAAAAAATACATTGACGAACCTTTGCGGTGATGATTGAAAAATAATTTTCTTTTAATGAAGCTCCGGTGTAGCGTGATGGGAAGTGAACAAGGTAGCTGTAATGTCACCGAACTCAATGTCAGGAAGTTTTTCTACACATTTAATGCCTGTAAAAAGAACTTGTGGTGCTTCATATGGATATATGATTCCTAATTCCTTTATCTTCCTCTTGTATATTTATTTTTGTGATGCTAATAATAAGTGTGATGACATGACGTGGTGGGGGAAAAAATCGATTCTGTTCAGTATCGAGATATTTTGTACCATGATTTTGCGCATTCAATTATATCAATACTGTAGCGCAAAGTATTTCAATATTTAGGCTAATTATACTAATAATTATATTATTAGTATATTAATATACTAATAATTATATTATTAGTATAATATACTAATAATATATATTACCCACGGCAATGGATCTATGAGTAGCCGACGGATGTATTCCGTCAAAATGGCTGACAAGCGGCTAGGGGTCACGTGACTGGGAGATCCCTATAGGCCCGATAGCACATGTCTTATGATGTTTCAAAAAGAAAGAAAGAAAAAAAAAAGAAAAAAGATGTTTGCAAATGTTACCTTCATGTTGCACTGCTCTGTTGAAGTGTCCCTTGAGATGTTTTTGAACTTTGGACAACTTTGTGGGTTTGAAATATATGGGGGCACAAAATGGGCAGTGAAAATCACTGCAGCATTTATGACATATCTACAAAAAGTCCAAGGTTAAAGGCTAACGTTAGCTATCAAAATATTTTCGGGGGGAAGAGGGCGAAAAAACATACATTAACGGCTCAAATCTTGTTACAAACTATCTTTACAAATATTAAATGGACTATTCATATGTTGTATCAATGAGCTAAATTAGTTTTATTAAAAAATAAATCAAACGAGTAGGCTACTACGATTCGCTAAATAAAATTGAAGATAGCCTACTCACGTTTTGGCTTAAGTTCTTCACATGTTCTTCACATGTTTATCCGATACAATTTGATAGGAGGCGCTGTCTCGAAAAACGAGGGGTCTGAGAATGCGGGACTCTGGGTGCAGGGGGACTGTAGATGCAGGTCTCCGAGTCTGCAGCTTCATACTACTCTGACGTTGATTTCTCTTAAAATTTGAGAGATGTGCAAACTAAGAAGTACAACTATCCACGTGTATTAATTTCAAAGATTGGAAACAAATATGATAGCAAATGAAAAGGTCCTAGACGATTTTGTCGTCACAGACAAACCGCTGTGATTGGTCTATCCTGAGCAGCGCTTAGAAAAGTAACACGCATCACATGAGAACACGGCACAAATCTTTTCAGATATCCTGTTTCATGTTATTCATACCGCATATTCAGTTTATATTTAGTTCACTCGTCATACTCACTTGCAGAAGGTGCTCTGGTCGCATGTTTTAAAGTTGCTGCGATCCACAGCCTGAGCGCTCAGACACAACAGCAGAATCAGCAACAAACTGAAAGACAATACCATGAGTTCACAAAGGATAAAAAAACAGTAACCTGTGCGGACACGGTTGCTAACGCTTTTATATTATATTAAAATCAGACAAACCCTTTACTGTAGATAAAACGATGATTCATCGCTGTACCATGGTACCACAACAGTAACGTTAGTCTTTTGTAAGGAAAGATTTTAGACATAGTGAGGAATAACTCACAAAGACTGTAAAGCGATTTAAGTATTCAAATCAATCGAAAGGTAAAAGGAGCATTTCAAATAGCTGCGTCTTTGATTTTATATACACATAATCCTATTATCCGGCCAGAGCAATACAATACCTGTCACAGGAAGCCGCCATCTTGCCTCCGTGTGAACTTTGCCCTCCGCGCGCGTCCGTCCAGTCAGTTTGAATTGTGTCGTGCACGTGGACTTTATCAGCAAGATTGTGTTCATTCGGATTTTGACTGCACCAATCACGATTTTTTATTTTACCCTAATTTACACAGTGTGCAACCGCAATACAAGATTATTTTGGCGGTATAGATCTATAGATAGGTATGGCTTCAACATTTCGTCAGAGTTGTCTGAATAATATTAAAACTTAAAAAATAAAACATTGAAAAACTTTATTTGATCAAGGAATAGAAAGAAATGATAACTTACAGGCCGAAATCAAACAAAGGTTATTTAGACACACTGCGCCTGCGTTGTGTCGCGTGATACATGTTACATTTTTCTGCTTTTTTCTCTCTACGCTGCTCAGGGTTGACAGCCGTTTGTGGTTACATGTGGTTCATTTTTATTTAATCGTATTAGATGGTTGAATATCATTTCCATTTGTATATCACTAATATTTGTTTTGATTCTAATAGTACATTTAAACATTATACCTTTTGTATATAAAATACCCTTGTATGTTTGCAGTACAACAAGGATACAGTGTCGTGAAATCGGGTCTCCCTCACAAATATATAATTTCATAATAATAGTGCATAATAAAAAAACAGGACATAATGAAATAATAACAGCAGTAGTAGTAGTATAAATAATAATAATAATAATAATATAAACGAATAGCATTAAAAAATGAGGACATTTAAAAAATATTATAAAAAATATTTAATTTCTTTTTGTAGGCTATTTGTTTAATTACAAATTTTAACAAATGAAAGATACAAAAAACAGACAAACTTTCAGACAATAAACAAGTCATAGTTCAATAGTTAACAAGAAAAATAATATAAAGAAGCCTGATTTATCTATTGAAAATTAGATATTAATTATTATTATTTAAGATAGATATTAATTAGCACAAAAAAAACATATTATGAAAGAATATTAAACATGGTACAAATTCTAGATGTTTTATAGCTTTCTTATTTACAGACGTGGAAATTATATTTAAGTACAACTTCAATTCTTGTTTGAAGATGTCAAAGCGGGGTTTACTCTTTGTATATTTACATTTATGGATATAAAACTTTCCTATAAATAAAAGGAGGTTAATACAAAAACCTACTCTGTTTAGAGTCTTGTCATTAATATAAAACCCCAAAAGAATGTGTCTTTAAGATAAGGAAAAATCACAGAACACAAAAATAAAGACCTCATTTTGTAACAACAGAAACAAATATATCACAGTGGATTCTGGTCTATAGGGGGACAAACAGAAATCATTGAGCCGCTATTATTGTTTCTGAAAAGCATACAAATTTCCAAAGAGATGGCCTTGAAAACTAGATTAAATTCTTTCCTAGATACTGGAAATTGTTATCTTTAAATAAAATCATAGATAAATAAATTACCATCATTGTCAAACATCTGCATTCACTAACATTACTCCATTACTGAACCAGTTTTCAAGAAACAAGGATTTCCTCTTATGAATAATTATTACAGTTAGTCCAAAGAAAACAATTGTGTGGCGAGAATAACTGAAATATTATTATTATTTTAAATGTAACTTAATTTGAGACATACAAATTTGAGTGCAAACGTCATGCGACGACGGCGTTCATAGGCGTTATTAGCTTGTGACGTTTCTCCGTTTCCCACTCGAGGCGTCAGATGATTGGATGTTTCCGTTCAACGCTGAGATGACGTCACACACAGCTGGTATAAAACGACACGAGTCGCCATGTTTCTTTCTCTCTGTCTGCAGCAGCTCTCGGGAAACGGTTCCAATGGTATGTGAAGTCATGAAACGAGTTCTTATGTCGTATTGATTATTTTTAATGTTTTCCTGACGCGTAGTATCTGAGATTAAAGTTTATGACGGTTATTTTGAATGACAAACCTCCATTCTTGGCATGCTCGCGTTTGTAATACTCTTGTGTGTATGTATGGAGGGAGACTAGACCCAGTGCAATGTCTTCGGTACCAGCATGTTTCCCATCGGCTGGTTCTATCCTCAATCACTGGAACACGCTTTTGCTTTAATGCTAACATTCAAAATGTTAATCTTTAGAATATACATTGTCCTTTAACTTCTAATTGTAAGTTCTTACTCTTCACAGGCTTGTGCTTCTCCTCGTGGTGCCAGTCTCGGATCTGCTTGAAGTGAAGCTAACTGTTAACTTACTCAAGAATCTTTGGTTTGTGTTTGGTTTCCACAGGCATTAGATTAGTTGCGCTTTAGTATATCTACGGTTTGATAAATGGCATCTGCTGTATTTAGACGTTGAAAATTGTCTTTATAGTACATTTCAATTAACGTTAGTAGTTCTGAAGTCTGTTAGCGCACAAACCTCATTTCTGCTATGTTTATATTTGCAGTGAGACCAAACAGCCCTGTTTTCTGTATTTGATAACTAATATTTTCAATAAACTAGTTTTGTACAACTGCGTAATGTGTATTGGGATTCATTCATTTTCAGTGACCGGATATGTCCATTTATTTGCAGTTAAAGGGATGGTTCACCTAAAATGATCATTTTTATTTGCTCTGAAGTGGTTCCAAACCTGTATGAGTTTCTTTCTTCTGTTGAACACAAGATATTTTGAAGAATGTTGGTAACCAGACGGTTGACTGTAGCCATTGACTTCCATATTAGGGGAAAAAAATGGCTAGTCAACTGTTTGATTACCAACCTTCAAAATATCATGTGTTCAACAGAAGAAACTCATACAGGTTTAGGCCATGTGTGAAATGACCATTCTTGGGTGAACATCCCTTTAGGCTCTGTTGCTAATATTTGTATTCCGTGGTATGAACACAATTTGTGCAGTAACTTGCACTTTAGAGTTTGAGGGATTTCATGTATTGTGTAGTTGCAATTAAGTTAATTCTTTATTAAATTTCAAAGTAATATGAAAAAATCATAAATGCTTTTAAAATCTCTCAACATTCCACGTTTTCTTTAATAGCTGTGGTATTGTGATTAGATCAAGAATGTATAGTGCAGGACCTTCAGTTGTGGGCAAGTTTACAATGGTTTGTCAACATCATTAGTTATTTTGGTGCTTGGGAATTAATCTTTTAGACAAGCAGCAGAAACAACTAAATCTAACTTTTTACTATTTTTTTTTTCTTCTAATGTAGATATTAGTTTTGTATTGCACATTTGTGCCCCCATAACAGTGAATGAAGAGTAAAAAAAAATTGTTGCAATGATCTTGGTTCACAACACATGTTTCTTGTCTATGTTAGTGTACACCATTTTTCTACATGCATGGTTTAATTTATATTTCAGTAATTGTGGATCTTTAATAAAGACTAAAAAAGGCTACTGTAAACTTTCTGTCTACTCATATTCAAGCCTTAAGTTAAACCTTAATCCTTAACAATTTACATATTACAACTTTTGTTATCGTCTACTTGGAAAATGTCCCAGGTTTACAAAAGCTATGAGGATGTCCCATATATTTAAACTGATTTATATTACGCTGAGACCAAAAGATCCAATATCCCAAGAGTGCTTACTTAGCCAAAAAGCATTAATGATGTAGGCCTACATTTCTGATGGGTTCTTTGTTCAATTTAATAGATAAGACATGCAGCGGTTGCATTTCTGTTGTGATGGAATGAAGAGAAAAATACAATACTAATTCATTTGAAAATTTTAATGATGGGATGTATTTAAATCTCCAAAATATACCTACAACTAAATCTGAGCATAAGCACAAGTGAATGTCATGAATAAATGTGCAAAAAGGATAAATATGTTCATCAGATATTACAAATGACCATACACCTAATACAGACCATGCAAAATTAAAAAAGGTGATAGGATGGTGATATTTGTGAATATCTATTCTATGTAGACATTGTCGTTTTTCTTGTAATTCCACTAGGAGGCACAGTTTTCACCTGTGGTTTTACATCTGTTGTTTCTTATTAGCCAATAGCCATTAACTGTTTCACATCTAAATGATCTAACTGACCAGGAATAACATAAATATGTGTGACCATAAGTTTTTTTAAAGTCTAAATTTATTTGATCAAAAATAGAGTAAAAACAGAAATGATGTCAAATATTATTACAATTTAAAATCACTGTTTCCATGTGGATTGTTTTTTATTTAAAAAAATAATAAATATATATATATAGTTGTGACCCCCATTGCAAATCAGGTTTATTGGCAAAATTTTCAGCTGGTTGCAATGAACAAATAAAAAAAAAAGTCATTTAAATAGCTGAACAGAACAAATCTGTCAAATGGTTTCCCCATATTTAACTGAAAATACAACTTTTAATGGCTTCTGCAGTTTCAAAAGTATTCAACCCCCTGAATAGGATCCCTCACAACAGCCCAAATCTGCAAAAAAAGTGTTGTCTCAAGCACACCTGATGCAACTAATCAAGGGCTTCATTAGTTGCACCAGGTGTGCTTGAGCTAGAACACATGAAAATACCTGGCTAGGTTTGTTGAGCGTCACGTTTGACTGCATGTTAGAAATAAATATGGCAAAGTGTTACGTACGCTGTACGTATTAAGTGTGTTGCATATGGATATATGTCGGTAGTCTTTTGTTGTGTGTGTGTGTGTGTGTGTGTGTGTGTTCATTGGATCCACAGCCTGTCAGTCTTCATGAAGGATGATGACGTCCCGGTTCACCCGGTTTGTTTTTTTACAGCATGTTGTGTCAATTAGGTACTTTTATTTTTTATTGACATGGCAGATTGTAGCAAAAATCACAGCGCTCTAACAACAGTTGATAGCTGAATACATTAATAAATAACAATTGACATTGAACACGATATAGATGTAATGAAGACCGAGTTAGTGAATATCTTCACAATCCCCGATGTCTTTACGTCCTTCATTATGTGTGTATTCTGAGTGGCAGTTTCTCTCTGCAGACGATGAGGT